GCGTGACAGGCAAGGGTGCGCACCCCTTTTCCCCAAACCGTCACCGAGGGACGTCGAAAATACCGCATCGGGGGCACGCTTTGTATCGGCCAAGACCCTTTTACCGCGATGAGTCCTACACCAGTTTTTGAAAAAGGGCAAATCCTCTCTTTTGATTGAAATTCAGGGTCAAAAATGCGGGATACCACTACAGAGGTCGCGGTCGCGTCATCGAATGCGCCGCGTGTCTACTCCCATGCATTTAACCAGACATGATGCTCAGAACGCCGGCGGGATGATTCTGGCCACCCTCATCCGATCAAACACCTTCCCCCAAGCCTCGATTGTCGATCGCTCTTCGCCAAAGCCGGTGCTGTACATTTTCGACATGTCAAACTGCCGGTCCGTGTCGAACTGCGTCAGGAGAAAGTACTCAAATCCGGGGTAGATCATGGGATTGTCGGCATGCCCCTTTTCAAGCCCATGCTTGGTCTCCAGCTCATCCCACCTCGAGATGTTTTCCCGGATGAACTTGCGCACCTCAATAGGGTTGTCCTGCTTGCTCTTTACGCCTTTCAACTCGAAATATTCGCACAGCACTGGCCATTTCTCTCGCCAGCACGACGCCCTTTTCGCATCGCCGACGTTGAAAGCATCCCCTTTCTTGATGGACCCGGCGGCCGTGGTTGACAAATGAAGTGTCTGCCTCGCAATCATGTCCGCCGAAGCATCTACACTCAGCGCGTTCCAGCTATCCTCGGACCCAGGAAAGGGACACTCAGCGCCGGCACCATGGATGTAGCGATACAAGCTGAAGAAGATACCCAAGACGGTCCCAAGAGAGTACCAGTTGCCGTTGGGGACGAATCCGACGACAATATCGGGTCTCGTTTCGCACCACGACCAAGACCTGTCGCTGGCATATTCGGCGATCCAATCCAGCTGCGGGTAGTAGAAGAGGCCTGCATCATGCGGCGGGCTCATTCGCGGTAGCGTCTCCTTCATTGGAGGAACCATGTTGCTTGGCCGATTACGAAGGAGGTGACAGCCGTAGGCCTTGGATCCTGTCTGTAGAACGACGAACTCAAGTGCCGGGGAGAGGCCATCTACAGCGATGACAGCCCTCTTGAACATGTCAATGTTCTCGTGATACTCGGCCTCATAGTTGCGGTCCGTGTGAGCCTTGTAAGCTACCGGATGTCTGTGAGTATTCCCATATCTCCATCGCAGACTCTGGTTAACGCACCTAGATAGAAGACATGGGTAACTTTCTCGATGCCTGTGACCTTCTGTTTCATTATCTTCTTCAACTCATCTTGACCCCCTCCCAGCAAGTCAACGCCGGAGACGACGGACAATCTCTCATCTTTGGGCCATAGAGTCTTTTCGAGATCAAGTGGCCTATTCGTGAGTGCGATGCAGCCGTCCCAGATGCCGGTAGTGGGGTAGTCATGGAGGATCTCATTGACAAATGACCAGCCGGAGACGCCGCTGGCTCCAAACACAAGTGCTGTTTTCTTTCCTGTCATTGTGGGATTGGTCAAATAAATCGCCTACATCGGGACCTCCTGAGAAGTCTTGAGGAGAGTGCGCAACAGACCTGATTTATCCAAACACCCTTCTTCTGTTCCCGCGACCGTTGGCTGCCGGAAACCGTGAGCCGTGCCAAGAGACAAACGGTCCGAACCCGTCACGGCCGCTGCGGCGGGGGAAGTGGTTTTCCGGGCCGGGAAACCTCCCCGCGCGCCCCACATCTTTCGCCGTGCTTCACGGAGAAGCTGCATGTACTCACGCACATGGCATCACCTTGCTCGCTCCGCAAAATGGGCATGTATCTGGGTGCAGTGACGAGCATGCTTGCTACGGTAGGTGCTGCCTTGACAAGCCCCATTTCGAAGTACTCGGTTGTCGAATTCGAAGCAGGCATTCCCACCCGAGTGGTGCATCACTGGCCTGCCACACCTGCACGAACCCCGGCCTTTCGAATCATGTCTTTAAAGAGTCGAAGTGGAAATAAACATAGAGATAGGTCTGCCGCTAGGCGGTCCAGCTGTCGGCCCATCGGCATGGGCGACCCACCATGGCAGACCGGACGGACAACCCTGCCGGGCTGCCGGGTCCCGGCTGGCGGTGACCATGCCTGTGGGTGCTTGACATGCACGGCGGCAACATGTACTGGGTCTCCGCAGCTGGTTCGCATGTCGATGTTGCTTTGGTCTCACAGGGACCCTCTGACCCATGTGTCTTGAACTACTGCAACCTTGTTCCTCTCTGGGGGCCACATAGGTGTCAAAAGCGGTGCGGCGTCACGTGTGGTTTTCGACCGCAGCAAGCGTTATCCCAGTCTGTAATACAGGTGTTGGCAGTTGCTTTCCTCATGTTCAGGTGTCTCTTGAGGATCAAAGAGTTCCCATTCTTGCGCCTGCCGTTGAGAAGCAGTCTACGAAAGTGGCGGCGAACAACAGCATTATGAAGGAATGCCAAGGCTCCAAGGAACCATACTACATACTTACGAACTCTATCGGGAAGCCTCAGGACACCACTCGTATCCGGGGTGGCGATAAACTTACATGAACATCAGTCATGCTCGCCAAGTCGGGCAACAGAACGTGTCTCAACAGCGGATGCAACTCGCAGATGCAGACAGCAATGCAGCACCCCAGCTGTGCGGACGAAGAAGATTCGAAAAGGCTTCTAGGCTGGCCCACGGCCAATGCCACCAATGTCAAAAGATCCAATAGCGCGTGAGATTGTTCGACACGCGCTTCATCTGGCAGGCGAGCAGGCGAATGTGGCGTGCCGCTGCTGCAGACGATTGCGCTACTGAGCCAGCCAGGGCCGGCTTGCAACCCCCTTGCAGGGCCATCGCCGAGGCATCGCCCAGCCAAAATGAGCCGGCTTGGCCTCGCGAACGGGTGCGGTCTCTCCTGGCCTACGAAGCGAGCACGTGGGTTCGGTCGCGGCGAACGGGTGTGGGCGGGCCAGCCGGGAGGGTGGGGGTCGGAGTCTTGGCCGTCTAGCACGCGGTTCGGAGGCGGCGCGGCCTTGGTTGGACCTGGACCCAGATGGGAAGAAGAAGAAAATTGTCACGGATGGCATGTGGACTTCAATCCGAGAACTCGGGTCGCCGAGAACTTGCCGTGTCATCTCCAGGGAGTCTGGACACGGCTAGAAGGCGTCAAGCCTTGCCAATACTGCGGCATGCAGCCATCACATCCTTCTGCGCCTGACACTGGAGCGCCGAGATTCTTGTCATCAGGGAGGCGGAAAGCTTGGTTCGATTGTCAGCCTGTAGCAAGCCTTGCCAGGTTTTTTTTTCCCACTGCTGTGGCATGTATTTTGTTCCTTCAGTCCCGATCGGCGGGTTCGAGAGGCTTGGGTGCGTCCTGGCATCGCGTACCCGACTTGGCGACGTGTTATTTTCATCGTCTCTGCAACGTCAGTCGTAAATTGGATATTGGAGTGTCGCAATTATCAACGTCAATGCATGGAATTCTGAAGAGAATTCGCCGGGTGCAACTGTGCCCTTGGAAGATGAGGGTAAAAACACGTGTGACAGCTTCGAATGGAGGCAAATGGACGTGAACCAGGATGTAACCATAACGTGTCCCAGAGGGCCGGAGCAATTAGGAGCTCTCCGGCCTGCCGCGGTAGACTAGTCATGGGCTTGGAGCGACAACCCTTTACTCCATAGTTCACTTTGGCCGCGACATTGCGGGCGGGCGGCTTTTCCTCCATATGGGACCGAGTCGGGTCGTGGATTTCGCGGAAATCAGCTCACTGACGAAGGATTTGTCAAACCGAACAACTCATGCGTCCTCGGTCACGATTGGGCATTCTTGGCCTCAGCTAGAATGCATCGCAACGTCGGCCAGCCAATACGGACACCTGGTTTGCCTATTCTGCTGAGTCAAGGCGTCGGTCGTTGGTCATACTACGGGGCTATACCAAACCGGGCACCGAGGCGCCAAGAGTTGGTTGCGCAGGTATGGCGACAGACTTTTCGCAACGTGCTTGGGACACGCATTCCGGGTGGTCAAGAGAGACACCGGGCTAAGCGTTGATCGGAAGGGTATTGGGCGACAGTGGCTGAGTGGGAAGGGAAAACCCCGTTCAGGACGGGCCTAGCTGCGATCCAAAGGAGAAACATTTCATGTTGGTGGATACGGAGAAACGAGAAAGCCTCAAAAGGACCGGAGAGGCAAACCCTTATCGGTAGGTCGAGCGTCGGTCGGAGGAGGCGTGCGTGGGGTCTTTCGTCGGTGGTAACGCTGTTTCTCATACTTTGAGCAGAAGAGTCGTGTGCAACATCAGCAACAGGACGGCGTAGCAACAAGCAGAGACGAACAAGCCAAGACCAGGAGGGCTTGGCGCTCTCTTAATATGCTCCTCGACGAGCAGGGGGGTTGAGACCAAGTCAAACAACTGTAGCGAAGAGATGCCACACGTGGAGGGGCAACGATTCATGATTCGCCAACTCCAGATGCCCCCAATCTTTGCGGGATGAGATTCTTCGCCCAAATAAAGCTTCTTGGGTGGATCCGAACTAGTATGCTAGGGATACCGACATCTTGGCACGCTAACCCCATCTATCATCCTTGATGCATCCATCCCGTCCAGTCTGCCATCCGTCCATCGGGTCTGGTTCATCGACCACGGACAACCATGTGGGAGAGGCGTCTCTTTACGAATACAGCAGTCAAGGAATCGAGACGAAGAGGGGAACATGGTTCAGCAACTGAACCTGGAGAGACATGGGGGGGCATGGGCATGGGGTGTGGCCAGAGTCTTTGGAGTCAGAGTTTGGTCTCTGCATCCGCTGATGGCCGCCACGCCCTCGTTCTGCGGTAAACCAGCATCCGCCAAGCAGACACATATAAGGTCTATCGTGTGCGCTCGTCCCTGGTCGCAATCGCTTCTTGTGTCCGTCCTGATCCTCAGCAAGCGCCCCCTTCCCCTCATTCCTCGAGACCAACAACACTTCTGCTCGCAAAGCCACAGCCTAGCGGCAGTCAGTCACAATGGCGCTCGATCAGTACACCTACGTCTTTGCCATTGGCACCTTTTTTGCCATGCTTGACGCATACAACAACGGTGCTAGTAAGTAGCAACTCCGATCCGGTTGGCCGAGGTGCTTGTGCAACGGAAGGTGGCCTCAGTGCCCCTCCATCACCGGCCTGCACGCGATGAGATAGACTTTCAGAGGCTGACTCGCATGAACCTTCAGACGATGTTGCAAACGCTTGGGCGACCAGTGTTTCGTCGCGATCCATTACCTACAGACAGGCCATGATCTTCGGCACCATCTTCGAGATGCTCGGAGCCATCACCGTCGGTGCTCGTACCGCCGAGACCATCAAGAACGGCATCATCCCCAACTCCGCCTTCAACGACAATGCCGGTGTCCAGATGCTCGCCTTCACCTGCGCCCTCGCCGCTGCCTCTTCCTGGGTCATGTGGTGCACGCGACACTCCGCCCACGTCTCCTCCACTTACTCTTTGATTTCCGCCGTTGCTGGTGTCGGTGTTGCTACCGCGGGCGCCGACAAGGTCCAATGGGGATGGAACAACGGAAAGGGTCTCGGTGCCATCTTCGCTGGTCTGGGCATGGCTCCCGCCATCTCGGGATGCTTCGGTGCCATCATCTTCATGCTCATCAAGCTCGTGGTCCACGTCCGCAAGAACCCGGTCCCTTGGGCTGTCTACACCTCGCCCTTCTTCTTCCTCATCGCCGGTACCGTCTGCACGCTTTCCATCGTCTACAAGGGATCTCCCAACCTGGGCTTGAACAAGAAGCCCTCTTGGTACGTTGCCGCCGTCACAATGGGAACCGGCGGTGGTCTTGCTGTCATGGCCGCCCTCTTCTTCGTCCCCTTCGTCCATGCCAAGGTTATCAAGAAGGACTACACCATCAAGTGGTACCACTTCATTCAGGGCCCCCTCCTGTTCAAGCGCCCCGCTCCCGCCGACGCTGAGAAGGCCAAGGTTCCCAACTACGCCGTCGTCCAGGAGGACGAGGACGAGCAGCTTCCCCGCCACACCGAGTCTTCCCAGGCCTCCGAGTCTGGCGACGAGCCTCTCAAGGAGAGCAAGGAGACCTCCGTCCCCCACGAGAAGTCTTTGGCCGCCGCCGAGATTGGTCAGGGACCTTCCTACAAGCAATTGCAGGCTGAAGGTGAGGCCAAGCTGCACGCAAAGCTCCTCAAGAAGCGTGGTCCTCTCGGCTGGGCCATGCGCCTCCTCCGCGACAACCCTATGGGCCCCGGCCAGATCTACGAGTTCCACAACATGAAGATTATGCTCAAGCGCATTCCCGCCATGATCACTGTCGGTGCTCTCTACGGTCTCCACTACGACATCCACGCTGCCCAGACTGGTATTGCTGGTACTCCCGAGGGTGAGCGCATGAAGCGTGTCTACGGCGCCGCCAAGAAGTACCCCAACGAGGTCGAGCACACCTACTCTTTCGTCCAGATCATCACTGCCTGCACTGCCTCTTTCGCTCACGGTGCCAACGATATCGGTAACTCCGTCGGTCCCTGGGCTGTCATCTACTCTGCCTGGAGCACTGGTAACGCTGCTGCCGCCAAGGCTCCCGTCCCCGTATGGCAGCTTGCTGTCCTCTCTGCCACTATCTCTCTCGGTCTCATCACCTACGGTTACAACATCATGAAGGGTAAGCTACCGGTTCAAGCGCTATGTTCGAACAAGTCACTAACAAGAAGCAGTCATGGGCAACAAGATTACCTACCACTCCCCCAGTCGTGGCAGCTCCATGGAGATGGGTGCCGCCATCACCGTCCTCGTCTTCTCCCAGTTTTCCCTGCCTGTCTCCACCTCTATGTGCATTACTGGAGCTACCGTCGGTGTTGGTCTTTGCAACGGCACCCTCAAGGCCGTCAACTTCCAGCGTGTCGGTCTCTTGGTCTTCTCCTGGATCATGACCATCCCCGTTGCTGGTACCCTTGGTGGTGTCCTCATGGGTCTTTTCCTCAACGCTCCTCACTTCTAAACGCACTATACCCATTCCCAAGTATAGGGAATATTTTTACTTGACTCATGTGTCATCGCAACGTTTTACTAGATTTAATGTACATCAAAAAGGGGACTTGGCATAGCATAGACAGGATGGCAGTATGTCGCTAGCATCAAACAGAAGAATAATGACAAAGAATCGTCACATTGACAACGGCCAAGTGCTTGGCGAAGTGAACCTGAAGAAGTAATATCTGCGACCCCCCTTTCTTCGGTGACGGATCCGGTCATGATCCACCGCATACGGTGCTACTGCTACTTCACGGGCCGTTCCACGGCACTTCGCTCACTCCGGCACCCCTGAATGAACCGTCGATGGTTGTCTTGGTGAAGCCAGGTGCAACGGTGGCTTGCTTATTTTAGATAGAAATAGAATTAGTCAAGAAGCAGAAAGATATTTCGTTGGCTATTGAGAATGCATCGATGTTTGTGTACTCCTCCGATTGACTCGAAACATTGGCACCGCAGCCCATGCTACTGAAGAAACACCGGGAGCATCGTAGTGCACATCATCCGCAATGATAAGTATCTTAATCAAGATAGCACAAGCTTGGCAAACTTATATTCGGACCGCTGCAACTAACCACAGAGCTGTCAGGAGCATTTTGAATTGTAATTGGACGTTGGATGATTCTTTTTCGGAGGCATTGGGCAGCGCCAAGCTTTCATCGTGGCTATGCCAGTGTCACGGCTTCACACGGTCACGCCTGCCAGCTGAAGTTGCCAAGCTCTTGCATCAGACTGCCAAGAACATCAAAGATTTGGCTTCTGAGGGGTTCTTCTATCGGCGGTATGCGGTAGTTGACGCAATTGGCATTTGATCGCGTGATCTATGCCTCCTCGGGAGACAGCACCTCTTGGCACGATATCACCACGACGAGTGCATCCTGTGCTGAGGGTTAAGGGCACACGCGACACGTTCATTTATCACCGATGGGCTGTCACGAAGCTATCAAGATTCGTTTTACCATTGAATTAAGTATATCTATACTCCAAGTCTAAAAGCTAGAACATGGCAATAAACAATGATGGGAGAAGGCCCATGTAGCTCTTGTACTGGCGCCTCACCTTGTTTCGTGTCTGTAGAATCGCCTCTGTACCTTTTGAATCTTCCCAGTCTTTAATAGGGGGACGTCCTATCTCACCTGTCAGACTAATGCAAAGTTGAAATGTCAATGGCGACAAGCGTCTCAGGTTGTCAGTGACGCACTCCTCCTAGTGGCCATGTCTTGGTGCGATTGTGAACATCGCATGTAGTTGTGCCAGGGTGGGTCGGTGGCATTCATCAGCGCAATCGTTGCAGTTATTGAGTCAAATACAGATGTGTAACGAATAAAACGATTCGATTGAATGAGCTCAAGTAAAACATTTCCTCCACATGCCGTTAACTATCTCCAATGTCAAAAGACTCGCCGCGCTATTGAGGTTTAGACCTTGCTGACATAATAATTCGTATTCGATACGGTGCTTTTGATACTGATCGCACCCTTTCCGCGATCCACAATCCGGTAAACACTCCGCAAAGAAGACGTTTCGAGAAGCTGATTGGTAACCCCATTGGAAAATCAGGCAATATCAATGCGTATTGATTGGGAGGCTCGAGCTCTTCGACGGAATTGTCAGTTTTCGCCGGCGGCCAGCAAGCGTATAAAGATGGCCGACGCTGACAATAGGCCACGAAATCTGTTGCTCCAGGCTGTCGCTCTTTCATCTTCCAATTGACAATCAAAACCAACTTTTCGTCGATCTCTACTGGTTCTCATATCTTAGCCCGAACTTCTCTCCAAGACCTAACTTACGGTCTTATTCTGCCGACCACGCCAAGCTCCACACGTGGCACGCATCCATACTACCAGAATACTCCTTCTACAAAAGCATCATGGCGCAACGAGAGTGGAACAGCAGCCTCATGGATTGTTCCCCATGCGGCACTTGCATGATGGCCACATGGGGTTAGTAAACTTCAACATAGTCGGGTCCATCAATCTAATGATTATGTACTAACGTAAACCCTGGTGCGCAGTTTTCGGAAAGACGTCCGAACGCATGAGAGATCCCAACCTAACAAACTACTCGCCTGTCAATGGAGAATGTTGTATGATATCTGCTCTAGGCTCTATTGGATTTGGTTGGTTGTGAGTAATGCCCGTTTCCCAGACTCCTCCCGTTAAATTTGCGGGTTTCCACATGCCGAACAAGCCTTGACCAGCTGCTAACTTCTCTTTTCCAAATAAAAGATATCTTATGAGCAAGCGAACCGACATCCGTCAGCAGTTTGGAATCGACGGCAGCGAGTGTGGCGACTGCTGCACGGCGTACTGGTGCCCTTGCTGCGTCCTGATTCAGCACGAGAATGAGGTGATAGGCCGAACCCAATACGCACCTGTTACTGAAGGCTACCAGTCTCAGGGAGACAGTATGAAAATGCAAGGAATGTAAATGGTTCCTGCGAATACTCCTCAGTGGGTTCCGCCGGGGTACGTGCATCCAGGGGGTTGAATGCTTGCTTATTCTTACCTAGGGTGAAGAATAGTTAGTTTAGGGAGGGGGTAATGTGTTAGTTTGATAAAGAAAGAGAGTAATAGAAGGCCGCAAGGCCTTTTCGTTAAGAACGAGCGTGGTTGGCTGGGTGTGTTATTGACGGACCCAGGCCGTGACGTATTTTCGTATTAATACGAAAACCTCTCACGCTTCATTCGTTTACGCAGCTCTGCCCCCCAGAAGAATGCGCTAGGCGCCTAGGCTCCAGCACGACCCGCCACAGACGGAGGCTACAGACATGAGCATCTCACGGTACTTCTTCAATGAGTGAAGAGTTGTTTCTGAACATAAATACGTCTTTCTCTTCTCTTTTCTAGCTCGGCTGGAGTTTGTCAAGCCGAATGGTCTGGTCGATGGCTCGGAGTCTGTGGATCCGAATTGTCAACTGCCTCACCCCACAGTCATCGCTATTCCCGAGCTTCGTCGACACTCTTAACGCGCCATCCGTACAGAGCGAACAGAACTCATTGGGCCCAGTCCTCATTGAAACAAGGAACAGCCAAACCAGCGATATGAATAGAGTCTACAGGTCTGTTCTGCTTTGAGAGGCAGATATTGAACTGATTTCCAATGCAGCAGAAGCATACATCACTGGAAGTCTCTGTGGCCGCACCGCACCTCTTCAACAAAAACGAAGTTGCATTTGTTAGTGGAAGAGTCACCCACTGACCCGAAGTTCGATTGCGGCCAACCGCCGCCTCCACAGCGGGGACCACCCTGTTTGGCATGTTTGGCACCACATGTGGCAGTGCCGTTCAGGGGAAGCTAGAGGCCTGTTGAGCCTTATTTAGCGGTGCCAACCGCCGCTTTGCCATGAGGTGGTTTCTTCAACCGTCATCTTTCTCCTTGCCTGCTGCACACCAGCGCAGTAAGTGTCGTTTTTCCATGTCAATACGAACTTGAGAAATCCTTGCAATATTGAGTAGTTGAAATGAGCGAAGCCAGCGCCTCAAATCCAAAACATGGCGACCCGGGCTGCACATGCACGACATGTCACGTCGCGAAGAGGAGATCCCACAAAAAATCACGAAACGGCTGCAAAAGTTGTAAAAGAAGAAGAATCAAGGTAAGCAACATCCTCCGCGGAAGGGGGATTTTTTTTTGTTACTTTTTATTTTTTTGACCATTTGCTGACCTTCACATACATGTAGTGTGACGAAGTCAAACCTAGATGCGGGCAGTGCTTGAAAGCACTCATTACGTGCGAGTTCGCGCTTGTCGCTACTCAACCGGACCCTCATTCAATACCAGAAACACCCCCCGAAGCAAACGCTGCTCTCCAGCCGAGGAAAAGGGGTCGCCCTCGCAAGAACTGGGACCCGGTTCTTCAAGGACCGAGTCCTCCATACTCTAGCGTTGCCGACTCAGACTTGCCAGATATCATGAGCTTGGGGTCGACGCCCTGCGACTTGCCCCTCTCTACAGACTGCCCGCCAACATTACCAAGTCCGATGTGGATGTGGACAGTTGATGATATGGAACTGCAGCATCACTATATGACTTCGGATGATCTCTGTCCTGGTGATTTCCGTCTCTGGCGAGAAAAGGTGCCACGCCTTGCGTTCAGCAACCACTGCGTTCTGCATTTGCTGCTAGCAGTGTCTGCGTTACACCTAGCGCGACAAAGGTCTGATGAAGCAGCTCGTTTCGAATTAATTGCTGATGGGCATTACTCTACTGGTCTTCGCCAAATCATGGACATTCTACCCAACTTGAACACAGAGAATGCCGGGGCGCTGTACATAGCCTCAACACTGGTGTGCTCGTATAGTTTTGCACAACGGCCAAGCCCAGGTCATCTTCTCATTATATCTGATGGCGCAGAAGTAGCATGGTTTGAACTTCTGCGGGGAGTTAGGATGGTTGTGGAAACGATTGGTTTCCATGCCATATTCGCTGGTGTCCTCGGACCAATGCCGACAGAGCAACCGGAGGAGGAGCCACCCGCAGAGAAGATGACAGAGAGACTTGTCGAGTGGGAACCGGCTGTACGCAGGATCTCCGACCTAATAGCTGTGACTAATGACCAGAACTCACGGATTTACGAGAAGGTGGTGACCGATCTGTCCGAGTGCTTTGCGAAAACACTTGGCACAGCGCAAAAGCCACGACATGCCTTTGATGGAAAGATGGAAATTATAATTGCGTGGGTTTATCGCATGGAGGACGAGTTTGTGGAATGTCTCAAGGAGAAGAAAAACGTCGCGCTTCTGATATTGGCGCATTTCGTTGTTCTCCTCAAGACACTGGAGTGGCTATGGTACATGGATGGCTGGGCCAGTCACATTCTTCATGGGGTCGCTTTGTACTTGGGTCCAGAGTTTGCAGACTTTCTGCGGTGGCCGAGGGAGGAAATAGAGAGGTTGAATGAGGAAAAGAGACTGAGAGCATCGGCATAATACAATGACATCAATTTGGTTGCATCGTCGGATGTTCTACCTGCAACTGCAGGCTGTCATTACAACCTATATCATGCCATCACGTAACAGATTTACATCTAAGTGTATGAAGAGTAACAAAGAATATGTCATGATATGCCATTCTGTGGTACGAGTTGTCCTAGGGATGAAAGCGTGTTTTCCGTACAGGATGTAACACCCGCCGAACGATTATCCGTCACACAGTAAACTCAAATAGCTGTAAAATTCGTACGCATGCAGAAATCATTTCGTTGTTTTCTACTCGTTTTGAGAGTCATCATCGCCACCTCAGCAAACATGGATAATATGATCGAGATATGACAGGTCGGAAAGGAACTCGTAGCATTTTGGCTGTTCCCGCGCCCGATTGAGTGCAATATGTGACGGACCAATCATGGCCAGAAGTTGGTTCAGCTTCGCCCGAAATCTAATTACGCAACTGGACTCTTCACCGAAACCTCGGAATTAAGTTGGGGGCTGGCTCCGCCACCTTGGCACATTATCCAATTCAGCTACTGTCAGCCCTGCTTGCAAGTAAGAGGCAGGAGTCATTCGCTATGGTAGTAAGCCCAGATCCTTCATACACATTCAGATAGCATACCATTCCAGTAAGGGGCATAGTGTCTCATTCCTTCGCCCGGAAATGAGGCACTTGGAGCTGTGATAGGCCTGCGGTATTGTCTCTTGACGAGTCCCAATTTTCTATCTCAAAGCCAGGTATTTATCATCATCACCGAATATGCGGAGCTGTTCACGATGAATGGAATAACCTCTCTTAGGTACCACACCGTGATCGCTCTATCTTTGTGTGTCAACCACACCGCTGATCATGTGTCACTCTGCTGAAAGTCTTTCATGTCAAATTCCCCTTGCCTCTGCACCCCGTGAAATCCGCTTCAAGAATGGCCCCCTCGGCCCCCAATACAATAGGTTTTCTTGGCCGGGTGTGCCCATCCGCGCCGCATGACTGCTGAACAACATCCAGGCACCGATTCTTACCGAGATTCCCCTGCGACCACAGGAGCATCTGGTGTTCTATATCATTGAGCTGACAGCACCCTGCTTCCATCCCAAGAGACCACCTTGAAACGATTATTTTTTCTGGTTTTGCACATTCCGATTGGCTGTTCTATTCTGGGACATCAACACAATTAGGATTTGTTCTGGTGCTTGTTGGTGCAACTACCCGACCACAGCCCACTGACGTTTGAAAATCTGAATATTAGCAAGAGTCACATCAGGCAGACTTCTTTCCCAGAACAACATTTTGTCAACGACAGACTAACCTGAGCATGAAGTCGATGAAAGTTGCCATCATCGGCGCCGGCGCCTCGGGTCTTGTTACTGCCAAGTACCTAAGCCAGGCCAAGCAATATTTCGGCGTGCCTGAGATTGAAATTCGGATCTTCGAGCGGGAAAAAAGCATAGGAGGCGTGTACAGACACAAGGTATACGAGGATGCAGAAGTATGTATATGATTTGTCACTCTGGCCTCCTTGAATCAAGCTTTGGCTTGTTCTATTGCAACGCCCGTCATCGGAGAGAGTATGGATAAATCACACAATAGGCTGACTTTGGAGACAGATGGTTTCGTCCAAGTATCTGACGGCATTTTCGGACTTCAGGGTCGCCAAGGAGCTTCCAGATTTTCTTCCTATGGAAGAGTATGTGCGCTATCTTGAAGCGTACTGCACGAAGTTCGGACTCTGGGAATTAATCGAGACCCAGACTGAGATTGTTCAAGTGTCACGACTTACTCAGGGCAGCCACAGAGTCTTCTACAAGCTTCATGTTGACAGAAGGCCTGGCGGTGATGACGAAGCCAGACCTGAAGAGTTGTCATGGGACTGTGACGCAGTCGCTATCTGTTCTGGTTTGAACAATATCCCGTCGATACCTGCCATCGAGGGTTTGGAAAACGTGTCGTCTGTACTCCATTCTTCGGAGGTCAAGAGCAGACGTCAATTTGGCAAAAACACATCAGTAATGATTCTGGGAGCGGGCGAGACTGCCATGGATTTGGCTCACTTGGCCGTTACCTCGAACGCTAGGCAGGTGGTGATGTGCCACAAAGATGGGTTTTACTGCGCCAAGAAGGTATGTCACATACAATCAGAAGCACGGCTGTTCATTTGGCTTACTTTGCCAGGTACTGCCAATCCCGATAGTGATGAGGGTTGTGAAACCAGCTCCTTATCAGAAGCCAGTAGACACGGCCATTGCCAGTGTCCTTGATACAGCATACCTGCCAGAGAGACTGCAGCATTCTCAACTTCCATGGTTCTTGTATGACAAGACGTTGAAGTTTCTTCATTTCATATCGGGAGGGACCCTCGCAGGTCCTGACCAATGGGTTGGCCAAATAGAAGGAGACCGGAACAACGCCGATTCTCGTAGGTTTACTCCAGCGGAAGCTCCTGACAACTCAGCTCACTGCACTAGTGTTTCTTGTTAAGTCAGATCGCGCACTCCCATATCTTAATGAAGGTCACCGCGCTACAGACATTATCTCCCGCATTCGAGCTTTTGTGATGAATGTTGAGCTGAAGGATGCCGGGGGAAGAAAGATTATGACCGCACCTTGGCCCACCTCGTTCACAGAATCCGGGACTGCAATCTTTCCCCGCAGTGAAAGACTCGATCAGAAGGAAGCGACTTCGAAGGCGTTGCGACCAGACCTGCTTGTGCTCGCTACAGGATATGTTCGCCGTTTTGGTTTCTTAGGGGAGGGTTACCCGAAACCAGATGATTTGAACATTCGTGGCATATGGAGACGTGGAGATGTCACGGCTGGCTTCATTGGGTTTGTGCGGCCTGGAATAGGTGAGTCATCCTGGAGTTATCGTAGGCCCCGAAAAGATGCTTACTTGAATGCAGGCGCCATACCCCCGCTCGCAGAGTTGCAAGCACAGCTTTGGGTCTTCAATCTCCTTCGTCACAAGTATCCACAGCAGATTGCCTCGCCTTCTGAGTACGCGGATTCTGTAACTCACTACGAAATCGACTATGCACTAAAAGCACGAGGCGGCCATGATTTCTTCAAGACCAAGCACGGAGTTGAGCAGGAATCGTACGCGTACCAGCTTGCCCTCGATATGGGTGCCGCCCCAACGTTCACCTTCATGAGACGCCAGGGTTTCAAGGCTTTCTTGACATGGGCCATGGGATCAAATTTCAACAGCAAGTTTCGTCTTGTCGGTCCGTGGAAGTGGGAGAAGGGAGCACTTGACATCATGCGCGGAGAGCTGTTCGATATGGCGAAGCAGACCGGAGGCGGAGTGTGTAAGTCATCCTGGCGGCCTCATTGCTCGTGTTGATTTTCTCTTTAACTTATCGCTCGCTTAGTCTTCATAACCTACACATTGCTCCCGATAATTGTTCTTGGAGTTTTAACGATCGTTCTGCATATGATCGCTGGCGTTCTCCGGCTGATGGGCATGGAAGAAAGGGCGAAAGTTGTCTTGGGTTCCGGAAACGTTCCCAGACGCGAAGGCGATGATTGAGTTGGATTGACCAATGAACCGGCGCATGCCATCATGCTGACGCTCGTAATTTGTTAAACAGCTGGGTATTAAACACATGCTCTTGATAAATGACATTGCATGTCCGTTTCGTGGCGGCGTCTGAAGTGACAGTTCGGACGATCGTAGGTGATGCCCAGGTACCTTAAGCTAGGCGGGTGTTAGTTCAGGGGCTCTCATAAGCAAGGTTCCAGCGGCGCACTCACTAGAATTGCCCCGCGCGGGGTACCTGAGTGACAAGGACGAACTGCTAACTTTCGATTGGCCTCTGCTGATTTCCCCGATAACGATAAGCCCAACTGGCGCTTCACCCCAACCAACCTTTTTTTTTTTTTTTTTTTTTTTTTTTTTCCTCCCTTTTCGCAAAGGCTTCCGTCGGCTGAACCACCAACACCACCACCTCGCCTGGTGAACCTGCGTCGCAATCATGTACTCCCTCGTGAAGCCAAACCAATGGGTGTCCATAAAGCTTTTATCGGAAGATACAAAGGTCTTGCAGATCGTCCCGAACACGTTCGTCCTCAGCTTTGAGCCTCTCTCGTCTCCGACCTCAGCTAATGGCCTCCAGGACCATCTCCCTGGGCAAACTCGGCTCCTTCCCGACAAACCTCGTAATTGATCGACCTTACCACCTCACCTACGAGATTCAAGACAAGCGCGAAGGCGAGTCTTACAGCAGACTACGAGTTGTTCCCCCGAGCGAGATCCACGCCGACGCCCTCGCCGATACGACCGCAGAGCCTGCCGAAGAAGATGGTGTCAACCTCGAGAACGTGATCGCCGCCCCAGACGGCGCCGAGTTTGCCGTCGTTGATAACGAGAGCGGCGATGTTGTCGCCCGATCCCGCCGAGAGATCATCGACGAAACTGCCCGTCAGACCTTGACAACCGAGGAGATTGAGCAGCTGAAGCAGGGCAACACCGATGCCGGCAAGGACATCATTGCGAAGCTGCTCTTGTCGCATACCGCCATTGACCAGAAGACCTCGTTCTCCCTGGCCAAGTATAAGCTTTTGAAAACGAAGAAGTACATCCGTCGCTTCACGATACAGCCGCTGGACACCCTGACACTGGGCAAGTGGTTGCTGGAGGAGAAGGATGCCGGCAAGGTTCTTGAGATGAGAGAGGAGATGATGGGGCTGCTGGGCTGCTGGGCTAACGTCCACTTCGGCGGACTACCTCCCACAGACAAGCCAGAAATGGTGACGGCTGACGGCTCCGGTATGCTGGACAAGTCAGAAATCTGCGGCCGGTGGCTCGTGGTGGATGACACTGCTGGTCTTGTTACCGCTGCTATGGCCGAGAGGATGGGGATCTTGCACCAGAGCGAGACTGAAGAGGACGAGGATTCCGAGGAGAAGAAGGAGGGCGCCGACGCCGACGTAACCGCAGACAAGCTCGCAGAGACCACGACAAAGACGGAGCAGACGAGCGCAGATGCTGCCCTTGTGGACACCGCGAAGCCCGACGAGGCCATGCCCGACGCATCTGCGGTCAATAATGGGGAGGAGCAGAAGCAACAAGCTCCTCGCAAGAGGCACCCGCCCCGCCGCGACGACTTCGAGTCTATCTTCGCTCCGACAAACACCCTGACCCTCATCCACCCCAACAGCCAACCGAACCTCGCCCTCCTCAAGTACTACAACTTCGACAGCACAAATCCGAACCCACCGCACCCCCTTCACCCCCTGGCCACCAACTTGCTCCCCATCTCCTGGCTGCAGTTGCTGGAGCCCGAGGAGGACATCACATATTCCACGCCGCCCCCCGATGTCTCTGACGAGGTGCTTCACTCCTGGAAGGCTAACCGCCGAGGAAACTACCACCGCAAGCGTAGACGCTGGGCTCGCACTCGCTACATTGTCGACTCTACACGTGCGGGCGGCTTCTCCGGCCTCGTGATCGCTACCACGATGGACATTGTCTCCGTCTTGCGCCACACTCTGCCCCTCTTGGCCGGCGGAGCTCCCATTGCGATATACTCGCAGAGCATTGAGCCCTTGACCGAGCTCGCCGACTGCTTTAGCATCGCACGTCGTGCGGGTTGGTCGTCAAACCCCCCTGCGGAGGCGGTTGGCAAGTCTCTTCAGGAGCTGGAGCGCTGGGAGGGCTCTGATGACTTCCCGATCAACCCGACTCTACTTCTGGGCGCCAACGTGCAGACGAGTCGCGCGAAGCGCTGGCAGGTGCTCCCTGGGCGTACGCATCCGTTGATGATGGGTCGTGGCGGAGCGGAGGGCTACGTGTTTACAGGCTGGAAGGCGGTGCCAGCGGAGGGCAAGGTCGAGGCCCGCGGAAAGTTCAAGAGAAGAAAGACTGAGGCATAGAGGGACATGGTTCGAGAATGTGACGGTTACGTGGAGTACAGAATACACGCAACACGGTGGATGCGGGGCGAACAGGGAAAACATAGCAGCTTGCATATAGATACCCTGGCATCTCTATTGAGGCTTTCAGAGCCGTATGAGTATAATGGCATCATCTTTGGCCCGGTCGCTCTAAAGTCAAACACGTAAAATGAGTTCTTCCTGATAGTCGTCATCCCCCTGGGACTTTTTGATATTGAACAGCCTCTTTACAGCGCCTTGCCCATGAACTTTCTCTTGGTGAAGCTCAGCCACCACTTGCTCGGCTTTCCATCACCGCCCTCGTCAAAGACCCTCGCCAGCAAGCGCGCCGCCAGCTCCTGACGGACCTGGGACATGTACTGTCGGAGCTGCTCGGCGTCCTGTCTGTCGCGGGGAGGCTCGTACATCTAGCGGTGAGTTGTCAGTGGACGAAGCGGGAGTGGGTCATGTTAGCAGTCCGTCGCACCTGGTTGAGGGGAAAGGCCGGGTCGCCCGGAATGGCAAAGTTGGTGTCGAGGGCGAGGTTTAGGACATCCTTGGTAGCATCGCGGACACCAGCGCTGGGCTTGATCTTGGTCAGGCAGTCACTGACGAACCAGATTCCGTAGACAAGCAGACGGTCGGCGGGGCCCTGGATCTCGAAGTTGCGGAAGAAGGTGTTGGCGCGGAAGAGGGCGAGGACCTCGTCGAGGATGTCGTAGCTCTCGCTGTCCGGGTCGGGAGACTCGTTGGCGGGCAGAGGAGGGTTCGGGAAGGGGAGGGTGTAGGCAGGACCACGGGTCTTTGTTCGGAGTGGCAGGAGAGGGAAGTTGCCTATTAATCGAGGGACATTGGGGTCGGCATTGAACATGGAGTTGTAGGCCTGGATGGGTGTATCGTCAGCTTCGGTTCATGCCCGGGAGTGAGCTCCAAGAAAGCTAGCAATCGATGGATGATGGGGGAGCGGTGTCGTTTCATCCACCATGCTTGAGCTGGATGGCAGTTGGAAGATCATTGGACATACCGGCATTTTGACAGCTTCGTGACCAGGAGATTGGTCCGGTCGGGAATGAAGCTGGTCGTGATGGTTGGTTGGGCGCAATATGGGGAGACGTCAACTGAGGCACGAAGCAGCGGCCGATGGAGGAGTGGTGGGGCTTGACTGACGTCCACCGCACCTGTGCTCTCACTGCACCGCCAGCGGTGCATTGACCTCAGCTTCCTGTTCACTGCTTCAGCCATCAGCCGTGGGGGGAAGGTGGCGCAGCTCTGTAGGCATCACGTGACTAGTCTAGTCACGGGATCTATGCTTGATGATGACTCAGGCTGCTCCCTGTCAGCAGACGCCACACGGGCCACCTCACGGGCCAAGGCACAGGCCACCATCTAAGCGAGGGGGCTGGTGCCTGGGATCACATGACTTCGCTCATCCGGCGTGTCTGGTTGTTGGCGTTGACCAGGCCCGGCAGGGTGGCAAGTCGCGCCCTTTCGCTGCCCGTCCAGCAGTGCTTGCAGCGGAGCGGGGCGTGGCTGCAGGCGAAGCGGTGACAACGCTGTCACTGTCACCGTCACCACCAACAAGGTCTCTCCTACCGTTGCAGAGGGCAAGTCTGGCCCGTTTTCGGGGGCCCTTTTGGCAGGCAGGCACCACTGACACCCTCACCTCCAGGTCACAGTGCTTCCTGCCATTCCCAGCTTTTCTTTAATCTGGATTCGTACCGCCCACAAACTGGAACAGCAAGAGCGATTGACGTGGTCGTGGTCACCATTGATTGTTATTTGACTCGCGCATCCCGCGTTTCAGCAGTCACTGCTCTCCCACGATCAACCCTTTTCCCCTTCTCTGGATTCCGCTTCCCTGTTATTCCACCTTCAGCCCCCATCAACCGCCTCAGCTCCACCAACTCCGTCACACATCAACCAGCGCATCGATCGCATCGCCTCTTTTCTCTTTAACCCGCCCTCGCTCTCTCCGTCGTGCGCCCCCCTCTCCTCTCTGAGCGAAGCACCACCCCGGGATTGCGAGAATTTCTTTTTTGCGGCGCCGGCTTCAAACGCATCGTCGATCTCAACAGATTTGCGACGCATACCGACGCTACTCAAATACCTTGGTCACGTCGCATACAAGACGGGTATTCTCCGACCATTTGCGGATCGACTCCTCTTTTCTCTTTCGCTTTCCCACTGCGACTCTCAAAAAACCGCGTCGCGCACCCTGTTCCGCCGACTAAACCCCCGGCTTCTGCCCCGTCAATCACCCACCACCACCGTCCACAGTCGCGTCCAACGTGGGATCCCCCAAGAGGCACAGAGGGCCCCCAAGAGGCCCCGAAAAGAACGAAAGGGAGTGCGCCACACACCGATGCTCATTTTAGAGTAAGACTATCCTTTCCATTGTTGTCGCCGCCCTCCTGTCCTACTCGCCGCTGTTGTTTTTACCATCCCTTGCAACAACCCTCCTTTCTGCGTTTACTAGTATGCTAACAAGCGAAAAGATCAGTGTTCAATAGAAGCAGCTTCCTCGGACATCTGCGCAACACCGCCGATTTACCCATCGCCAAGATGGATCTCCCCAGCAGCGCGCCGACCGTTTCGACAATGTCGTCGCCAGAACCCATCCACGCCACCCCTCCCTCCTCAAGTCCCATTCCGACCATGACCGCGCCTGCGAAGCGCAAACGAACATGTCGCGTCTACAGTCCTGACCAAGGTTCCCTCTACGATCTCATGTGGGAACACGCCGGCATCTCTCTGTTCGTGCGCCCCATCTGCTGGACCGACTTGCACGTTCGCCTTCTCGATGCGCGATTCGTCGAGCTTCCTCCTTCCAATACTCCAGTTCCCCCTCAGTCACCGCGCGGCACCCCCGTCTCACCCTCAAGATGCCATATGAAGCCTTCTCCAGCGGCAACAACCTTGAGCCGCGAGCTCACCAACATGCTGGCCCCTGGATCCAACAGAACCTTCTACACCAACTCGATACGCACCGTCATTTCGACCCTCTATCCCGGTAAGCTGTCCCGCGCCAGGACACAGCTCGACCTCCACCATTATTTTGGTGGTCTAGTCTATCGTGATACTTGCCGCGTGCAAGTGGCTTGGGACGCGACACCGTCGCGTAGCGGCTCGATCGCCTCATTCGAATCAGCATCGACGCGTCCTGCCGAGTCTTTCGGTGTCCCTACAGGTACGAATGGCAGCAACGGAGCCAGCAGTGGAAATGCCAGCCAGCAACCGCCTTTCACTCAGCCAGTTCTGGCCTACATCGGCAAAGCGTCGGTTGCCGCAACACGGCGTAACATGTATCGCGTGATACCCGGCCCCAACCGTGCGTACAACGGACCAGTCGAGCGTTTGCAACAATTGCGTTCCAAGATGTTCATCCCCCCCAACCCAAACCACGATCCTCTTTTCGTCGGTATCATTCTTGCCCTGGCGCAGCGACGCTTCTATGGGGAGCCCAAGCCTACCGCGAATAAATGGTTTCCCTCAAAGCCCCTGTCACTGGGGCTTGGGGAGCCAGATTTCCACGACGTCACGGTTCACATCTTGACCAACGACAACGACGCATCCGAGTTCATTGTGTACAAGGGTGTGGTGACAGCGGAACTGCTGCGCAAGTTCCACGAGCCAACCAAGAACCCCGGCGCCGGGGCTGGCAAGACGCTTGCTGAGAGGATGGGGGAGGAGGCCAACGAGGGCGGCGGTATCCGCATCGAGTACGCCAGAGTGCCAGTCTGGCCAATTTTGGGACTCAAGGAGCGGCTGGGCAAGGTTCTTGGGCAAGACATTGTGGGACACTTCGACGAGGACAACATGGAGACATGGGAGGAAGAAGCGGAACAGAGCAGCGACAAGCTCAAGCGACGCCGAGATCGCGAAGCCCTCGCCGAAGTGTTTAACGGCAGCTTCGACGAAGAGGCACCCGACGGTATGCCTCTCAGTGGGAAACGGAGATGTTTAGTTGACGAGGAAAGCGGGCAGGTGGGAGTAGTCGTCTAGAGACGTTGCATGGCGGCGATTTGATCTCTGCATAACGAAGCCACGAGGCGTTTAAAGATGGAGCATGGCATTTTCTCCAGTGCTGAGGGTCAGCAACCAGTCGAAGATACGGACATTTGACTCATTCAGCAATCGGAGTTGTGGGAAAACAGTACAGTACATTGATGAGGGTTACGATTCAAACTTGTGTTTGGGATAGACGGATGAAGAGGCATCGGGCATTCAGCTACGGCTAGCGTCATGGTGGTTTTGCTTTTCGAGACGTGCGCAGGCAGATGGCAGGAGAGGATTCGGTATCCTCTTGGAGGAAGTGCTCGGCCGCTTGGCATTCAATAACACAAACTTTGCGATGACAGTTGAAAACCCCCTTAGACACAGGACAGCCGTGAATAACCTCGTGTGTCGTGTGCACTTACCTAACCAGAATCCAGCGTACCGACATGCGCTTTCCCGTATGCGAGATGGCTTCGGCCCCCCTCCAGGCAGTCGGCCTCTGCCTGCCACCCACATGCCCCAAAAGGGCATTCGGCGTCGATCCCCCTCGGCTCCCGCTGGAGCAACGTCTGCCTGCGTTCCTGCCTTTGGGACCAGATCTGGCTCAAGTTTGATCACATCTCAGTGTTCTCGTTGCCCGCTCCGCGCCCTCAAGCAATAGCGCCGGTGGACAGGGCTTTGGAGATGTCAGGATACGACGCAAATCGGCACAAATGCGCCTCGTGGGTCACGCAGTCTTCCCGACATGCATGGCCGCACTGCACAGCTGTCCGCGGTGGTGTGTTAGCGCAGCCAGTCGCCTGTCAGATCTGCAAATCACAAGATGACACCGCCGTCACCCACGCTAGGCGCTTTCTTATTCTTCGGGAGGCACACGATCAGCGGCCCGCCGATTGGGCTTGATCCCTTCACGTGCTTGTCTTTCGCGAGACTATTGCAGTTGAGCCTCACCCCCCGCCGCGCTTGCCCTTCGTAGCCGTGGCCGAATCAGCGGGCGGAAGAGCCATTGCAACGCTGTCTCTACAAGACAATGTCTTGTGCGGTCGGAGAACCAGCGGCCTTGAGAGGGAGACCGCTTCTCGACCCACGACGACGATGTTTCTTCTGTTGGAATACTTGGCCCTTTGCTTTGCTCAAATACGGCACGTTTCCTCTCCAAATCCAACATCGCGACACCTGTCTGTCTCCAGCTGCCCTTGCAACCTGCTGCCAGGATGAAGTCTTCCTCTGTATTGGTACTGGCATCTTTGGTGCTTCCGCCCTTAGTTGCGGCCAACCCCGAGAACTACAAACACAGTCCACGCACTGCCCAACCTGCTGTCGATACCGGGGCTGGCACTTTTCTTGGACGAACGTTTGGCTCTGTTGAGACATTTGCCGGCATTCCCTACGCCAAGCCGCCCATCGGTCCGCTACGGCTGAAGCCCCCTCGGAGGCTCAACGGGTCTTTAGGGACGTTCGACGCGTCTGGTATCGCTGCCGCCTGTCCACAGTTTGTGCTCTCTACCGATAGTCGCAATATCATCCTCGATGCCCTCGGATCGCTGCTCACGCTTCCGATATTCCAGCCCATCACCGGCCAGGAAGACTGTCTGACGGTGACCGTCCAACTACCAGCCGGTACTACACCAAACTCTAAGTTGCCCGTAATGTTCTGGATCTTTGGAGGAGGCTTCGAATTTGGATCGACAGCTTCTGATAACGGCGCTAGCTTTGTTCGCGATGCGATCGACTTGAAGCAGCCCTTCGTGTTTGTTGGGGTCAACTATCGTCTAGGAGGCTTCGGCTTTCTTCCCGGAAGAGAAATCCTCCAGGACGGCGCCGCGAATCTCGGGCTTCTGGATCAACGGATGGCTCTGGAATGGCTCGCGACTAATATCGATGCGTTCGGGGGTGATCCAGACAGAGTGACTATCTGGGGCGAATCGGCCGGCGCAATTTCGGTGTTCGATCAGATGGCTCTGTACGATGGCGATAACAAGTACAATGGACGACCGTTGTTTCGTGGAGCAATTATGAACTCCGGGAGTGTTGTCCCAGCAGACCCTGTTGATTGCCCCAAAGGGCAGCTTGTCTACGATACTGTGGCTCGAGCTGCTGGTTGTTCTGACTCTGTCAATACACTGGAGTGTCTTCGATCCGTTAGCTACGAAACTTTCCTGAAAGCGGCTGCTTCTGTACCGAGTATTCTGTCGTTCGAATCGCTCGCTCTCGCATACGTCCCAAGACCGGATGGTGTCGTTCTAAGAGATAGTCCCGACATTCTGGCTAGGGATGGGCGGTACGCGGCTGTGCCCATGATCATCGGGAACCAAGAGGATGAGGGCACGCTTTTTGCCCTATTTCAGCCTCTAGTCGCGACAACTTCCCAACTAGTCGACTACTTGTCCGATCTTTACTTCCACAACGCGTCTAGAGACCAATTAAATACCCTTGTCAGCACCTACGACCGCCGGATTTCCTCGGGGAGTCCGTTCAGAACAGGTATCCTGAACGAAATCTACCCTGGATTCAAACGAAGAGCGGCCATTCTGGGCGATCTCGTATTTACACTAGCTCGACGCTCGTATTTGTACGCAGCCAAGACAAGATATCCTTCGGTTCCGGTTTGGTCGTATCTCAATAGCTACAGCTACGGAACTCCTCTTCTAGGCACTTTTCACGCGTCGGACATCGTGCAGGTGTTTCTCGGGGTATTGCCGACGTTTGCGAGGCAAAGTACGAGGACGTACTATCTCAACTTTCTGTACAATCAGGATCCCAACATCGGCACAGGCGGCTATGCGAAGTGGCCAGAGTGGAGCGAGGATCACCAGCTTCTTTGGTTCTTCAGCGATCGCACGCAGTACTTGAAAGACGACTTCCGTGGCGACAGCTTCAATCTTATCTACAATAACATGGCGTCGCTGCACTTCCGGGACAACTCAACAACCTTGCCTCGGTGGACACTATGAAAATCCCAGCCGAGGACAGCAAAATAGTGGTCTAGAAAAGAACGAAGCCCATTCACATCGCAAAAGGGGTATGATTCTTCAACGCTAAGCTATGTACGTAAATGAAGATAAGTGTCAGGGCAATAACTGTTGGCTGGGTCTGGTTCCGGCGCACCTAGCATAATTTGCTGTTTTTGTTAGCTGGCTTGTCACAGCAAACTTTGGGGGAAACCCGTGATTCTTACCTTTGAAAAAACATCGGCTTGGCGGATGCCCATCTCTTCTGCAATCTTTGCAAGACGGGCCTTGACGTACATGCGCTGCCTTCTGGTGGCAAATCGGCTCGAACCAGTTGCCAAAAGTGGCCACATACAAGAGATGCCGGCTAGACCCTTGGGCATCTCTGACGTCCCACAGGGAAAGTACGGGGTGCTGAGGGCATCGCCCGTCCACCCGAAGAAGTACGGTGTGCTCGAGATGATGTCTGCAACTTGCTCCTTGCCAATCTTGTTGGCGTCGATGTACTCCTTGGTCAAGGTGTGGTCGCTCGGTGCGCATACCCACGCGATGCAACGAACGATGACTTGGTTAAGCAGCAACCTAGAGACGTGGGTGTTGATGTGCTTTCCTGCAGCCCAAACGTTAGGATAATCGTAAATAGGCCCGGGGAACGCTGAAACAAGGCCAATCTTGTCATCAGGCACGTCAATCGCGGAGCCCGAGATGCCCTTTCTCCAAGCTGGCGGACACTTGTCGAACCACATCCCGAGTTCGTCGTCCATTTTCCGAGCTCGTTGGAGCAGCTTCAGAGCTTTGTCGATTTTGTCGGTTGTCCTCGCGCCTTTCAGCAGACTGTCGGCTTCCGCACGAATCATTGTAGTCTGGAGGTTCAAGACGAGAGCCTGATGACCGACGGTATCGCAGACTGCTTGCCGCGCCCACCACGTCAAATCTTCCAGCGAGATGTTTGCAAAGAACGTGTATTGTCGGACCTGAGTGTGTCAGCAAAAGGGGCATGAAGCTTTTCACGTTTGAGGACCTACCGATGTTGCTCGCACAAATTCGAACATGCTCAATCCCACACCAGTCGCTGTTTGCTGAGGTCCGCGGAGCTTCACAATAGCCGTTGCTCCCGAGATGTGCTTCTTGAATCCCGACATTTCCACGTCGTCTGACACCAGACCTTCATAAAACGCAAGCAAGATTGCAGACGCAAGAGTCGTGTCTTGTCTCACAGCAACCTTGTCTTGCATTGCTCGCGTCAAGTCTTCGAGTGCTTTGCTGTAATGGAGATGTGCCATCGAAAAGAGTCGTCTCGAGTTTGGTCTTCCTGCCAAAGCTGCCATCGACACTGCGGAAAATGCCGATTGTAGCGGAGAGTACTGGTAACTCGGGATGTTCAACAACGGGAGCACGAATGTGAGGATTCCTCTGCCCACACCAGTCGGAGGCGCGAGCACGTAGTTTGCGAGGAAGAAGCAGGTGGCCTGTTGGTCGAGTGGTGTCTGCAACGTTTGTGGCATCCCGTAAGTCCCACCTTCCAACTCCTTGAAAGACACAAACGTATCTGGTGCCTGGTTACTGATGTACGAAAGCGAAGACGCATAGGACATGGATGGTGATACGTCGGAAGACCCCGAAGACATGGAGTGTCGGTCGAACCAGTCGTCTTCGGGGATGGCGACAATTTGCTGTTTTCGAGGCGGTGGTAGTGCCGGCGGCGTCCATTCCTGTACCTTCGCCTTGCTCTGGCTCTGGATCTGGTTCTGACTCTGGCTTTGACTTGGACTTTCATTCTCCGCGTCCTGTTCCGTTGCGCGTCCTTCCCTTATGGCTTTCCTCAAAGCTGCCGACTTGGCTTTTCGAATAGTTGATTGCGTCTCATCGCGGAGATTGATCTCGAATGCGTCGCGATACCCAGGACACACTCTCTTTGATTTTGCGCACTTCAAGCAAAACGGCTTGGTCTCGTCACATTTGATTCTCCTCGCTCGGCAGAGCTTGCATGCCCTGCTCGGGTGTCCCGTGTTGACCATGTTTCTGTTTGGGCGATGCAGTATGCAATGGTACCGTGGTAACGCGCGTCTCTATGTCCGTCTTCGCGCGTGGGGTTGAGGGAGATGGAAAGTCTTCTGTGCAGTGGCCCCAACTTTCCAATGCCGGTCGACGTGTGCGGGTTTAGTTTTGACGGACCGTGTGTCATGTGGGCGAAACCCCTATCAAAGTAGGAAATTCTGGGAGGAATAAGGAGGCGGACGTGCTTCCCTACGGCAATAAAAGGAAAATGGGCAGACAGGGCCAGACATGTGTCAGAGCGGCCGAGGACGCTCGTAGTTGTGGACTGCGTGGGAACCGGCGGATCTGTCCCCCTCGTGGGCAGAAGAAGATGGAAGAAGCCGCAAGTGAACGATGATATGTTTCAACTCTAAAACCACTGCCCCGCTTGTTTTGTTGGTGGTATTCTGCTGATTGAGAAAGACATCGCCGGGTTACATGGCACCTGCGATGACGTTGCGAGTCATGGTTGGGGGAGAATTGGAGAAGCTTGAGGTGTAGGAGGATCAGAAGACAGCTCGATCAAAGCATACAACTGAATGATGTGCTGGCGGATGAAGGGGGGAGGGGACATGAAGGGAGGCTATGGCAGATGAGCCCACCTCATGTCTGTTCGGCGTGCCGTCGAACCCGGCCTGTCGAACCTTGGGTTGGGAAGCTGTCAACGCAGTTCGGCATACGTCCCCGTCGGCGGTCATTGCGAGTGCGAATTGCTGTTGACAAGATGCGAGAGAGGAACATCAGACGAAACGGTAAGCCCAAGCGTCGCTCCCAACTGAGAGCGTGAAACCGGAATTCCATGCGAAGACGATAGGTGTTTCTGAAACCTGGTCACCTATTAACCAACGCAACAGACCACCGTTTTAGGAAAGGCGCCTTTCGTATGGACGCTTTCTAGAAGCCTTCCGGTTTGGAACGGCGGACGAGCGGCACTTATTCTCTGAAATCACGCTGGGAGCGGAACGTATTATTCCCAATTCTATGGATTCTAGGAAGGTGACGTTTTATTTTTGATTTGAAGATCTTCGCAGGGGGGACATTAGAGGGAAGTTCCGTCCTATTCCTGTGCTTCCCTCCACAAGTGTCGTAGGATTAGCGTGCCGGCTGTCAGCAACTCGTTTCTCAACAAACTTGGCAGTTTGTGTGTCACAAATCACTAGTGACGCGCCGACAATGGAGCTAACGGCTGCCGCATTAGTAGCTCAGGTGCCCAGTCCTTTTGTCTTATGTTCAAGACTGAAGCGCTCAGTCTTTGGCCGTCTCTCAGGCCAAAACCACCCATCGGGGTTAAGCTCGTGCAGCTGCCGGCCTAGAACGGCAGTCATCTTTCGTCTCTTTAGGCGCGATGAAGCGTTCGCATCCCGAATAAGATTTCCGCCCAACGGCGGCGATGGGAGGAAAAGATGATGAGATGCTCTGCGTTCAATGCTGGTCGGCGGCCGAATACGGCTTCACGTGTTCGGGATGTTATTCGGCATTTTCGGGTTGGCCCGAGGCAGGAGCGGCAGTGGTCATATTCTCAGACCTTCAGACTGCGTACGTACGTGAGATGACGGAACTTCCTTAAAGTCAGAGTCAGTTGCTGTCGGTTTCGCCGATTCATCTGATGGTGCTGTTTGTTGACGCGTTCGAACCCACAAGAACTGACAGACATGACAAGATACATAACCTACTCGGTCTCGGCACAGATAACCAGAAAAACAGTTGCCGGGCTTGTCAGGCAGAATAATTCTGCGAGGACAATCCGAGAATCCCGAATCCCTTCTCAGTCTGCGGTGGATGCCACAAAGTTCACCCCGTGAGGAGCAGCTGAAAAAGCCGACTCTTCGAGACTGGCGATACCAATTCCGCTTCAGGATTTCGTTTGCAGGCAGATGCCACTGCCGTCTTTGGCATCGGAAAATCCGTAGGCTCCAACTCGGTATCGCATTGTACAAAGAATGGACACATCCAGTGATCACACCGGCTGTGACCAACGCATCGAAAGGATACTGGACAAATCGCGTACCATCTTGGACGTCTTGAGATAATGCGTCGAAATGATCTTTCAAAGCATGTAATTTCGTACTAGTATTGTAGGATAGCTACGAAATGGCCAGGCCGGTCAACGCTGCGTCTTCCAAGACACAAATGTGTGTGACTTACCGCTCGGGTTGTTGTCCCAAAACATTTGATAAATCGCTGAAGCTATCGCGACTCGTCCTTTCCGCCCAGAAGGGAAGCATAGTGCTGTATACAGTCTCGAATGAACCACCAAGTCTGGAAACAAGCGTGGCTGTGGCTATTCCTGCCTTTGTGCGGTATCTGCCGGAAGGCCATTACCCATGTCAATTATGGTGATGGTGTGGTGCCTTCTGAGACCACACAGATACCAGGATCAGGGTTCGACGCGATCTGCCCTTCTGAAGACAAGGTCGGGGAGAAAGACTGAACATGTCAATCCAAACTACATCATATCCCTAGGATGCTGTTAGTGAGCCTCGTCAGTACGCAAGGCCTCCAGGTTCAGCAGTTTTCCCGGCCCGCTGGATCCTCATACTCGTTCCCAACGATATATGTGTTGAAGTCATTCCGTCTCCACTGGATAGATGTTCGGCCGGTTCGAGGCAGCCTCAGCTGCGCAATCTTTCGAAACCCGCTCCGCCTTACATCAGTCCGGGGCTGACTGTCTCAGGCGTACGTAAAAGCGGAATTCGGACTCGAGAAGTGGACTCGACAGCGGGAGCAAGCCACGCTGATGGCAGATGTCGGACCCTGACGTTTCTTCTCCATTGTCCGGGGTAACCTTAGACGGGTCTGTCCAGGTGTTTTTCTGCCGCAGGAGTTCCCAGAGGTCTTGTCGGAATGTGGGCTATTGCCAGGATACCCTGAGTCCGATTGCTTCCGATGAATGGGCCATAGTTTGGCTCTGGCTGTCCCCCTCGCATGGCATGTGTATCACTTAGGCACTCTAACTCTATACCTGGCTCGGGTTACAAGTCCTCACCGCTTCCTAAGATCATTCTGTGAACCCCTCCACGGGCCGCCCAGGAGGGCTGACAGGAGTTTGTGCGGAGATGTCAAAGATGTTCCAAAATCCGAAGAGAAATCTGATGTCTTGTACAACACTTTCAAGTATCGTAGTACGAAACCGAAAGCGTTGGTAGAGAGGTATTGGGCCGATCCGCGTCAGGATCAGGGGGCCTTAATGGGCGATCATATTACGGAGTGGCAGCAATCCCACCCTCTCCCGGCATATGCGCGGGCCTTGCAGCACAAGGTGCAATGGCCACCTTGCGATCCTACACGCGGCGTGATTTAAGCTTGAAGCTAGCGAGAAGCAGATCGCCGCAGGCATGGTGTTGTGATTCTCATCGCCAGTGGATGTTTACAGATGTGTTCACTTCCGGTGGGAGATAATTGTTCACCGAGACCGACGCATGATGCGGTTGAGGTAACAGAGTAAAAGACGTATGCAACGGCCGAGAAGCAAATCCGATATCCGCGGCGAAAGAAAGATCCAACCCCGCCTTTGAAAAGTCTCAGACAGCGGGATTCGATTCATCACTCATGGCTTCGGGATCATCGCTAGTCCTTGACAAGTATGCAGGGCAGCGTTCGTGCCTGCAGTAGATGCACATTACGCAATTGGCCCCAGAGAGCTCGGACAACATGGCAAGACGTTTCTGCAAGATTGGCTCCTGCTTCAGTAGTTTTTCTCCCTATCAATCAACACACCTTGCGTGATGGTTTCTGGAGGGTGTAGGCGAAGCTCATAGCTTTGAGTCCATTCCCTGCTTAGATCGTGGAGCTGCTGGCTCTCTGAAAGGCGAATCGCATTGCACGTCGGGCGTCTAAATGGATCGAAACACTGGCTATCTGCTTACGATTACCACAACAGGTGGATGATGGGGAGAATCGGGAGCCACCAGAGAGGAGCCACACGGTGGAACGGAAGATAGATCGTACCCAAGAAGACGGGCCGTAGACAGGACATCAGCCGCAACAGCCGCAATGATCGGGCTCGCATTCCTCGCACTATCCGAGACTCTTTTGACAATAGGGGAGACGACCGTTGTGGACTCGAGTCAAAATGACAGTAACTTACCGCATCAGGCTGACAGTCCCGTCAGAATGGGTCGCATTGGCTCGCAACCTCCATGGGTGCGAACAGACGCCCCAGACAGCCTGGACACATGCAGAGACAGCCCGGCGACAGGCAGGACAGGCACACGACAGTTCAGCAAAGACGGGATGAAAAGTGAGCTTTTGAGCTGATTGCCCCTTTGGTGGCAAGTCGTTGCGATTAGAAGAGGCTGGAGCCCGCGCCTCTGCTCCCGAAGTGGAAATGGTTCGACGTTCCCCAACGGCTCCTGAAACGGTTTGGCGCCGAACCTCCTGCTTCGACCTGCCTCAGTGGGAAACTCGGCGGAAAGTCTAGAGTCAACTTCTACTCCTAATACCGGCCCGCCGCTGAGGCGCTGTTCCATCGTCGTACTTGAGTGGCATCGATGGGTCTGCGAGAGGGTGGGATGAAGAGAAGAGGGAGAAGGATGGAGCGCCAAAAGGCTGATGAGATGGGATCGAAATGGCTCTAATAAGGGTGTCACTGGCACTTTGAGCCAGTCTTCATTTTTGCAGTTTTGGACAAAAAAGAAAACGAACAAGAGCACCACTAGCTAACGAAACGACTCCAATCCAAAGCCTCACCAGTAACGATTTATTGCTTCCACAAGCGAGCACGCTGAGAAAATTGCCAGTCAATCAACTCAGATCAAGCAAATACAGGTCCCATTTACGACATACGTGCTGTCGTCATAGCCTTACAGCCTCAACAGCCCTACAACGATCCGTATTCGCCTGGCTTCAGCCCCACGACTACTCTACCCATTCCGGTATACCCATCGCACTTTTGCCAGTCCGGTCGACCGAATTCTCTTCCATCACTACCTACCTCCTTTTGAGCCCTTTCAGCTGGACCTGTCTACTACTACGAGGAGGACCCGCTTACTGCTTTGGTGCATTCACTTCGTCATCACAGATGAGGCGCCATGCAGCACCGGGTTCATTTACCATCGACCATTAGGAACACGCATACCGGCACATAGACACTGGGTTCCATATTCTCTCACCTGAGACCCTGCCTATCCGTTCTTGTTTTGCTTCTGCAATCCTCCTTCCTTTCCCATCGATCCCAACTCCGACTGTCTCCACAACCCAGCCGTTCTTCCGCATCCCTGATTCAGGCAACCGAACGGGAACTACGGACGGGAACGTCTCGTATTACACGCAACCATGGCTGGCATTGCCGAGTTATTATCTGCTGTGTCCCCTTTCCTCGCACAAGGGTTTAATCTTGCTCAGCAAGGTGCAAGACCAGCAGACGCATCGACATCCAGACCTGCATTGATTCCAGCTGCACTTTCACCAGCAACCTCGAGAGCCTTCGTCGCGCCGGCCGTAGCAACAGTAGCTGGTTCTAGCCCTAATGGTGCACCGTTACCTGCTGTGCAGAACCAACCTCCGCAAGTCATCGTTGAAACAAACTACATCATCTATACGACGGTAAAGACACTTCCGCCCGCCATCGTAACTGTCACACAAACACAACAACCTCCGCCTCCTCCTCCTCCTCCTCCAGTACCACCGCCGCCCCCAAAAGAGCCACCATCACCTCCTCGACCTCCTAATGCAGTCCCTCTTGCCGCCAATCCCGATTCAATAGCAGCGCCTATTCTTTTGTCACAGTCCTCAGTAACTCCAAAGACAACTCCTCAGCTCGCAGCTGCATCACCAGTACCTCAACCTCCTCCGGCGCTTGGACTTGTCCCTCCTCCTGCTCAAGAGTCATCCTCGCCTCCAGCGACTACCCTAATAAACCAAACCCCCCCACCTCCGGTGCTCGCTCCCGTCATGAGCAGCCCTGGTTCAGGAAGAGGTGGAGGGCCGCCGCCGAATCCGCAGGCTCAGGCTGGCCCGCCTTCTGGAGGTCCTCCAATGGGACCTCCTGATCCAGCCAACGGAGCTTTCCCGGGTGGCGTACCAACAAAGAATCTTGACCTCCCTGTCACAATCATGTTCATGCTTCTGTTCATGCTAGGGGCATATGTCCATATCAGCATCTACAGAGCTAACGCGAAGCGAGGACATAAGTTTTTGATCTCGGATATCATTTTCGATTTTTGTATGCTCCGGACTGTGACCTGTATTTTTCGAATTACATGGTCAATTGTCACAACACGTGGTGTCATTCTTGTGGCGCTGATCACCGAGAACGGCGGGTGAGTACTCACTTTGTCACTGAGATGAGTGAGAATATGACTAACAAAATGTTAGTGCTGCGCTGCTCTTTGCAGTAAACATCTTTTTTGCCCAGCGCCTGCTCCGTTCCATACACCCAAAAGCGGGATGGTGTACTGCAGCTAGCCAGACGTTCCTACTGTTGCTATTTTCTGTCCCAGTCTTCATCCTATTCAATGGCGTCAACTTGATCATCAGCTTCTTTAGCGTTGGCAATCTTGATCGGCTTGAAGCGACAGATGATCTGATCAAGTTCGGGTCTGGATACAACATGTTCCTTGCCGCCTTTCCGGTGATTGTGGTAGCAGGATGTCTTTGTATCCCGGGACCCGAACCGGAAAAGTTTGGTACAGGATCGATGCGTGTCAAGGTCGCATTGCTTTTCTTTGGCTCATTTCTCCTGATGGCTGGACATGCCATTCGTGTTTATGCTTTGGTTAACAAGGAGCCGCCTGGAACGGACAGTGTCATCTATGGCAAGGCGGTCTTCTACACGACGGGCTTCTTATTCGAGCTGCTTGTTGTGGCTGTATATGCATTCGGCAGAGTTGACCTACGATTTCATGTTCCGAACGGTGCCAGTGGACCAGGAGACTATTCCGGCGACAGAGACAAGGGCAACTACTCTGTTGAAGAGATCGAGCGCCTCATCGATGATCTTGATGTTCCACATCAAATCATGCGCGAGAGGAAGGGCCCGGAAGACATGGAGATGGTGTTCGCAATTTTCTTTGCAGCCAAGAAGGAGGAGGACGAGAAGAAGGACCTTAAAGACGGCTCTTCGGATGATGCCACCGTGGTGGCTGGCGGCGACTCGGAGAATGGGTCACGTCCAGGACAGACGCCTCTCCCGGAGAGACCCAGGAGAATCACTAGGCGGCAAACACTCATCGACGCCTTCCGACCACCGCCTCCACGTCCTGAGCGTGAGCCCACGATGTATCCGGACATTACGGACTTCTATGTTCAGATGGATGACGGGAGGACTCCCCGACGCCCTATGAGGCCGTCCATGTACTCTTCAATGGAGACGGGCCAGGGGTATAACAACTCCCGGCCGGATCAGCGAGTCCAGCAGTACTGGGGTGCCTCGCCTCCGTATGGAAACGAGAAGGAGGCGATGAAAAATGTAGACTTGAGATGAAAAGTCCAAAGAGAAAAGCGAAGCATTGGAGCGATAGCGAGCGAATGAAATCGAAGTCCGTTTGGGCTTCCGTCTGATGTATACTAGCCACAGAACGTACCCTCCGGGTGGGGAGCTACACGCCGGGCACTTTGGTACATAGCTCAGAACAGAATGGTTTACGGAAAACAGCCACGCGGATTCCGGAGTCGATCTATGCTCGTGCAGAAACTTGTACTTTCGCTGGTCTCACCATAGGAACCATGAGTGAGGCCTTGCCCGCACTGCCGCGAACAACATACCCGACGCGTTCGTAGAGCGGCACGACATCCTGGTCGGAGTCGAGGTACATCCGATAACCCAGCTGATCCGCAATTTCGGAGGCGTGTTGGAGGAGTGCGAGAGCATAACCTCTCCGCTTGTGAGCAGGGTCCGTCATGATCAATTCAAAGTCTACCGGTCCTTGTCATTAGCATTCATACCCTGTTTGAACTGAATGTGTGGGGTGAGGTGTGGGGTGAGTTTCATCAACTTACAGACGTGTGCGTCTTTTCCCATGTTCTGGTCATGTTGAAGGGCCATGTCGGTGAAGAATTGATCGAGAAGCTCATCCTTCTGGCCTGCATTCGCGGCAGGCCAGCGCTTCCGCCAGGACCAGGTTCCGTTGTCCTCGGGACGGATAATCCACACAAGGGACGATGCGACGACTTCACCTGTGACGGACTACTGTCAGTCTTTGGAGATGTACCTGTTGGCGGGCACTCGGCATCCCCAGTCTCCCGCGTTTGCGGGGTGGGTTGCGGGAAGGAAGCGGGAGCGGGAGCGGGATTCGGAGATGGGGCAAGTGGATATCCCGTAGATCCGCGTACCTTCATCGTTTCTTATCACGTAGACTTGACCCTCTTGGCTATGGTTCTCTTTGGAACGCATGAACATCTCATACGCCTTGGTCATGTAGTCTCGTCCAAACTCATTTTGAGGAAACAGGGTCTGGAAAAACTCGTCATTGAAAGACTTGAAGAATAATTCGGCGAGCGCGGGCGCGTCCTGAATCCGGGCAGCCTCTACTACGGGAGTGGCCATTGTAATCTGAGGTTACCGCGGATGGCGTGGAAAGCAAGAATGAGATGGGACGAGGAGTTGACGAGTAAGACCCTCGGTTTTCGAGGTGCGAGCGAACTGTGTATAAGCAGTGAGACGGTTCGGGTGGGAGAAATGAGATGAAAGGCGGTGGGAGGATGGGCGGGAGTTGACATAAACTTTTTTCCCTTTGAATATCTGGTGTCCCGTCGGCCAGGGGTTCTGCGAGGCCGAGCCCGACTCCGCCATTTACAAAATTGAGGGACCAAAGCCTTGGTTTTACAGGGTTCAACGGGCCTTGAGTGGTAACTTTGTGGCGGATGTGACATCGTGACACCTTGGCCTAGGTCCCCCCAACTACAAGCAAGCTATGAACGGCTCTTACTCGGTCCGCGTTCAACCGAACTATTCAATTGAGTGTTGAGGATACGAGCATTGCGAAAAAGGAAGCTGCACCTGTCCGCTGGTGCCGAGCTTCAATCCTACAGGATGGGGTATGAGGTGAGATTCTTGAAAGGGTGAAGCAATGGCATCCATACCTCAAAGTGGGGGAACTCGTAAACGTCCCGTGGCATTGTCTCTCCGATGTTCATACATCGTTTACGTAATGAGGATTACGACGTGGAACTGTGAGCTCTCTGATGAACGACTATCGAATTACCGCCGGTAAGACCGCTACTCATGATATAGCACTAGCATGTCTTCCAACTCAACCACGGCACCCCACAGGTTTCGAACATGCGGAAGTTTAGGTAAGCGGAAGAGCTTCAACATGCCAGAAAGCACGTAGTTCCATCTGTCCACACATTTGACACCAGTGTTTTGTCCTAAAGTCTTGAGATATAATGAAGGAAGAGTTGCACACTTGGAACGCCGATGAACGATTCCACGGGTGGACAATGATGTGAAGTATGCCTTGGGCGGCTGAAATTGCGCTTGAGGTGACATGATGCTGTGCAAAGTGCCCATGGCAGTGCGAATAGTACGGTGTTTACTCAAGCGCGCGCACGGTCGTGGTAGGTGGGACCAGCACTTTAAGTGGTCACGTGCGCGCCAATTCCCTAACGCGTCGCAACGCGTCTCACGCTTCAATTGCATCACGCACCAAATCGCCCAGCTACGTCCGTAGGTACGGTGGTCTCCTTTGCTGTACTCGCTCGACACCCCCGGACCTCCAAATTGACCATCTTCCCTCTCAAATTGTCGCCATGTCCGACTACGAAGATGAAATGGACGTCGACGCTCCGGCGTCCAAAGACATCACCTTCTCGTCCGACGCCAAGCAGGGCAAACGCAGCGCCGCCAACCTCCCCGTCGAAGCCGAAGACAGCTTGCCTTGGGTCGAAAAGTACCGTCCGGTCAACCTGAACGACGTCTCGGGCCACCAAGACATTCTCGCCACGATCAACAAGTTTGTGGACTCCAACCGCCTCCCCCACCTCCTCCTCTACGGGCCCCCGGGAACGGGCAAGACCTCCACGATCCTCGCCCTCGCCCGACGCATCTACGGCGCCGAGAACATGCGCCAGATGGTCCTCGAGCTCAACGCATCCGACGACCGTGGTATCGACGTCGTGCGCGAGCAGATCAAAACTTTTGCCTCGACAAAGCAGATCTTCACCCTCGGCCCCGCCGCCAAGGCCGGTGGCATGGCGTCGTACAAGCTCATCATCCTCGATGAAGCCGACGCCATGACCAACACGGCCCAGATGGCTCTTCGCCGCATCATGGAAAAGTACACGGTCAACACTCGGTTCTGCATCATCGCAAACTACTCCCACAAGCTGTCGCCCGCGCTGCTGTCGCGATGCACGCGGTTCAGGTTCAGCCCGCTGAAGGAGCGGGATATCAGGGTGCTGGTGGACAAGGTCATTGAGGAGGAGCACGTCAAGATCATGTCCGAGGCGACAGAGGCGCTGGTGAAGCTGAGCAAGGGAGACATGAGACGGGCGCTGAACGTGCTTCAGGCCTGCCATGCATCAAGTAAGCAGTAGCGGGCAGCCGTATCTTTCGCAAGCTAACATGTCAAGGTACGCCACTCCGGACCAAGGACGAGCCCAAGGTCCCCGACAGCGAGATCGTCAGAGAGACAATCACGACCGAGACGATATACAACTGCATCGCCGCCCCGCAGCCCGATGCCATCCAAGAGATCCTCGACACCCTCCTGAGCACAACCGACGTGACTACTTGTTTGACGACCATCAACTCGCTCAAGGTGTCGCGGGGCCTGGCGCTGGCGGACATTATCACGGCGGTTTCGGAGCAGCTGGCCACGTTGGAGGTCAAGCCAGAGGTGATGATCAAGTGGCTTGACGGGCTGGCGGACATTGAGCACCGCGTTGCGGGTGGAGGCAGCGAAGCCGTGCAGACGGGTGCCGTGGTCGGCGTCATTCGCAGCGGCGCAGAGTTGATGAGCAAATAAGGCCAAATATTACAGGGATGAAGACAGGAAGAAAAAAGCAAAACAAGGAATAGATAATTCATGATGTTATGATCACCACCATGATTGCGTTCGTTCCGTCGTCATTCTTTCTCAGATTGAATCAGTGCCGCATCAAACCCCCGCAACTTCTTTCCTAGTGATCAGCATTCCAGTCAGCGGAAGCCAGAAATAGCACACAGAATGCCGGATGAACCGTCGTTCCAGAGTCGACAGCGGGCGAGCAGAGAGTCGTGTGCAAGGTTGTACCATCTCGGCCGCGGCCGCCTTGTCTAGTGTCTCAAGGCCTGAGTCAAGAAAGTCGCCGGTTGCCATCTGAAACCTTCGCTCTTTGCCGGTCAGCAGGGAGAGCTCACACGTCAAGTCGAACGACAGGCAGCACGCACGCAGAAAGGAAGGACATGGTAGAATGAGGATATGATATGCGAATCGGAATATATGTACGTAAGATAGTAAATCGGTACCCAAAAGAGCTTTTCTATCAGGAGCATCGGCGTCTGGCGCCCAGCTGAACGAACCCGGCCCCTTCCCTGCTCCAGTCTGCTAGCCAAAGACACCGTCTCCAATAAAAACAAAAGTCTTTCCAATGTGAACGCCAGAGCATTTCCAAGAACTCTTGCCGCCGTCTTCGTAATAGTTGTACATACAGAAAATAAAACACACATACACACACGCTTGGGCTGGGAAATTCTATATGCCGAGCCGGGTGGCTTTTTTTTTCGTCGTCGATCGGTTTCTTTGACGGAAACCGTAATGCGAGACCAGGGAAATTCAGAATTGGGGAAGAAACCGTTTTCTTTCCCCCTGCCGTTTCCAAGACAGTCCGCTTTGGTGTATCCAAGACATTGGCGCCCTGAGACATGGTATAGGGACCCACGTGAAACATACGTCACGTCTCAAGCCTTGGATGGCAGTCGTAACTTCGCAGTCGTCTCTCGAATCTGCCAATCTTAACCCATCGTCGTCGAACCTCACGGATGATCTCCGGCGACAATCGGCGTACGTCTCGTTCGTCGAGTTTTGATCTCTCAGACATCGGGCCACTTGACGGGTCCGCACTCGCCTTGCTTCTCGATCCAGGAGTTGATCTTGCGAACGTCCCAGCCGGACATGCGGCGCTTCTCCTCCTGGGATTCTTTCCGGACAGGGTGGCCAAGCTTGAAGGCCCAGCTGAAGCCGCAGACGCCGTCCCTGTACTGGAAGGAGAAGCAGTTCTGGTCGGCTTCGCATGCCTTGCGGCATTGGCCAAAGGACTTGTGCGCTTCCTTCTCTTCGGGCGACAGGTCGTCCAGCTTGGCACGGCTAAGCTGTGTATCGTCGTGCTTGTTGGCTGCCTGGTCGAGGTAGAATCGATCGTCGGCGAGGTTGTCCCAATCGGCGCGCTCGGGGATCATCTTCGGGGCGAAGAATCGGTGGTAAATGTCCTTGATGCGCATGACAGGGGGCGGACTCGGCAGGCTTGGGTCGGCGTAGCGCTCGTGTTCGAATTCCCAAAAGGTCGAAATCTCCTCGGCGTTCATGTGGTGCATTGTGACGATGGGGTGGCACCAGTGCGTCGGTCCGTAGGGGAGCGTGAAGGGCTTCTCGCCGTTGATCGTGGGCCACTGCGACGGGTTAGAAGGTTGCGCGCGCGCTTGAAACCGGGAAGTCAATACTTACCACATTATGAACGTCCACGTCCGCGTTTTCCTTCATGGCGAGGGCGAAGATGTAGTCACCACAGCACTCCTTACTGGCGCGGACGTCCCACTGGTTTCCGACCTTTTCCTTGCCAGCAATCATGTCGCGATGGGCAGCCTGAGAGATGATGTAGCCGGAGCCACCGTGGCCAAAGATGAAGTTGCGAATCATAGTCACACTGCCGAGATAGTGCTTGTTCTTTGGGTTGAGCTTCTTAAGCCACTGAACAAGCGTGGGCCACAGGACGTAGGTGTCGGCGTCGATGTAGACGTACCAGTCGTAGTTGGGGCGCATGTGATATGTCTTCTCGGCGATGTGGACGTTCTTGTACTTGTCGAGGTTCCATCCCTCATCCTTGGACACGGCAAGCTTGTTGCAGCTCTGCTGGTCGGCTTGGCAGGCCTTCTGGCGGCGGTAGAGGTCAAAGTCCTTGTTGCCGTCCATGGCCTCTGGCAGGACGCTGTCGAGACTGTCACGGATGTGGTAGTTGGCGATGGTCTGATCGAGGTCGGAGAAGATGAAGAACTCGGGCAAGCACTTGAGCATTGTCATGAGCTGGGTCGGGACCTTGTCGAAGGACTCGGTGGCGCCCGTCTTCATGATGACGAGAATGTTGCTCGTGTCGGGGAAGGTGTCGCAAATGGGATCGTGAGGACGGTAAGGGATGTCTTGGTTCGTCACGTTGTGCTGCGCTTGGCGGTCATCTTCGGCGCTGGGCTTGTCGGGCTTGCCTCCGGGAGGCGGCGGGCCGGGTGGGGGAGGACGCCCTCCGGGACCGGCGCTTGGTGAACTTCCTGGCGGACCTGGCGGAGGAGGCGGGCCATGGCCTTGTTGGAATGGATGGTAGTTGGGACCCTCGATGGCCCAGTCGGCGCCGAGTCTCCGCGAGGAAATGAGGAAGACGACGGCGGTGACGGTGACGAGCGCCAGGACGGTGAGGGCACGGCGGGATAACATTTTGGAAGCGAGTATGGGATTTACAAAACCGTCATGCCGTCTTTGGGTCAAGCCCATGATCTGTCTGTATCGCCCAGGGTCTAGGACGGTGTACCGACGGGAACGACGGGCACAACGGAGGTCGGTGGTGCAAGTCGATCGGTCGGTCGCGGGAAGCGCTGCGTGAGACAGGAGGTATCGCGGCGGGTACTATGTATGGCGCCGGACAGCGAGCGTGAGGTATCGGGTCGTACTCGTGGCGCGCGCGATCGCAATCGGAGAGAGACGTTGGAGAGGAGGAAGAGAAAGTTCGAGGGACGTCGAGGGCAAAAAGAACAGCAAAGCCAAAAGAGAGGACGGATGGATGACGGAGACAAGAAGAAGATAGGGTGCCCCGGACAAGGAGTGCGGCCGAGCTCGAGATGCGTGGAGGAGGAAACGGGCCGTCGCAAGTGGATTGATTGGAGCTGAACCAACCTTGCTTGCGAGGGAGAGAGTGAGCAAGGAAGAGGGTATCCAGCCAAAGTGACGAAGAGGCGGAAGCGAAGGAAGAGAAAAAGAGGATGACACGCAGGAACTGAGGCGGTTTGGATGGCAGGTAGGCAGGCACGGCAGGCAGCCTCTTGGAGATGAAAAAAGAGCCACCAAAGCCAAGGCCTGCGCTAGAATAAAAAGGACCGGGGCGGCGGGACCTGGAGTTTTGGATGGCGTGGGGAGCTATCACTGCATGTGTAGAGTGTACTATGTAGAGGGAGAACTTGAGAAGGGGGAGTGGACGGGCCAAACGGCAGGATACTTTGGTTTAGTGTTTAGCTTCAGCTGCCTACCCAGGTATATCACCGTACTGGATGCTTCGGTCCCGCTGTCCGTTCGGGGTTGCCTTCGAAACGGACCTAAGTAGGTATCCAGCTTCACATTGACGCGTTGAGGCAGGCTCGCGCATTGATGGGAACAGGCAGGGACCGGGGGCCAAGAATTGACGATGTCGATGCTCTGTGGTTGATACACGGACGTTACTATACTATGTAGGCCTCAAGGCCTCTCTGGCTCTCGTGAGAGTGAGACCCCCACCACGAATGCTCACAGTGTTGGAGGTACAGGAGCTTGGGAAACTTTGAATTCAATGTTAACTTTTAAGTGGGGACGCTCTCAAGTACCTGCACTTCCTATGCGGTTTTCTCTCGCTTGGCATCAAGGAGGGAAAGAGCCATGCTCGGGATGGGCCAATGGGCAAGCCACAGAGAAGCTTGGCGACCTAAAACTGCTAACACGAGGAGGGGCTATATTCAGCACCCTAGTTGCTTCTTTAGCACCTAGTTAAACCCCTTTTAGTAAGTTATTATGTTAGTGCTATACTATATATAGCGGAGTGAATCTCTAACCTTATTAGCTACTAAAAAATTTATTATATATAGTGATATATAGTTTTATAAGATATAGAGTGAAAATTTATATATTAATATATTAATCTAACGCTAAGGTTACTTATACTACTTATACTACTTATACTATTTATATTTATATTACTACTTTAGCTAACTTAAAAACTACTTAAATTACTACTAATTTAAGAGTAGTAAAGTTTTAAAGTATACTTATAGAGGTAGTAAGAAGGTCTATAAGTACTATTAAGGCTAATTTTAGCTAAAAAGAGTTAGTATTAAAGTTAGTAATAATAGTAGAAGTAGTAGTAGCTAGTTTAAAGTAAAATTTTATAAAGTTTAAGCTAATTATTAGCTTATTTAATAGAACTACTAGCTAACTAATATTTATATCTTCTCCTCCTATTTTTTAGTTTACTTTTTAATAGCTAACTTCTTCTTTTTTTTTAGTAGCTATATTAGTAGTAGTAGTAGTATAATAAATATATTAACTTAGGCTACTTTAAATATAGAGGGATCTCTTTTAATAGATATATTATAGTTAGTATAAGGGAAGAGTATTAGTATAGTTAATTAATATTATAGTATGTTATCTATAAAGGTGTTATTATTATTAATTAATATAATATTTTACTAGTAGTTCCTTTTTTAGAGGATAATATTAAGGTTAGGCTCTTTTATTACTATTCTAAGTACTATAATCTCTAGCTGTGAAATATTAATTAGAGGTATATTTAGTAAAATAGAAGAAAAAAATATATATTAAGGTTTAGTTAAGCTATTAATAATAGTTTATAGCTTCTTATATAAAGTAGTATTTATTATCTACTAACTTAAAGTAATTAAGAATATTATAGTAATAAAGTAAGCCTTACTAACGTAAAAAAGAGCTTATATAGGAACTTAGCTTTTTTAATTATAATTTATTAATTTAGATATTATAAGCTACTTTATATTATTAATATACTATATTAAGTATTTTAAATAAAATAGCTTAGATTAACTAATATAATATAAGTATCTTATTATAAACGTTCTTAAATAGGAACTTCTCCTTATTAATATAATTATATAATACTTACTTTTTAGTTTTAATTATCTTAGCGATTATAAAGTAGAAACTATAGAGATTAATAAGGTAGTTATATAAATATAACTTTAACTTAACATAAATAGACTTTATATATAATATTACTTTAAAGCTATAGTTATAATACTCTCTAATAGTAAAATTAGCAAACTAAAAGTAAAATAGAAGGTAAGTAGTAGTGAAGTAGTTAATAATTTAAAGCTAAGTTACTTTAAAAGCTTTTTTAAGGTTTTTCTAGCGCTTTTAAAATAGCACCTTAGTTAGTATATAAATATATAACTTCTATACTTATAAAACCCTATCTAGTAATTACTTAATTTTATTAGAATTAATAGTTAATAAAATAACTAAGTTTAATACTATAGTTATAAAGTTAATATTACTAGTATTATTATTATTAAGTAGTAAGAAGTTAGTAGTTAGTATTAAATTTTATACTTTATAGCTAGCCTCTAAGTTAATAAGATCTTCTATAATATTAGCCTTAAAATCCTAGTTAGTAAGATTAACTGAAGTTTCTTTAGCCCTATTTATAGTTAAATTAGGCGAATTAAAAGTATTCCTAATATAGGGTATATTAGGATTATTAGTATTTTTAGACCTAGTAGAAGGCTAGTTTTCAGCTTAGTTATTATTATCTCTCTCTAATATTTTATCCTACTTATTTTTTATATTTAATACTATATTTTTTAGTATATACTAAATATAGATCTACTACTATATATTTATAAATATAACTCTAGTAGCCTTTTTAAGTGTTTTATTAAAATTAGTTATTATTACTTTTAGAACTATGATTTTTTTAGCTATAATTATATCTCTAAGCTGCTTAAGAACCTATTTATATATAGTAGTATTTTTGCTTAAAATAAAGTAGAAAGTAGTATTAAAAGTTAAGTGCACTATAGTAAGACTATTAATCTTAAAAAGTAGTATATTAAAGTAATTTACTTATTATTAGTTAGTTTTACTTATCTTTTTTTTAACTTTATAACTAACCTTATATATAGTATCTATTAACAATAATTTTAGATTCTACTATTACTACTTAAAGCACTAAGAATATATCTAAAAAACTATATTAATCCTACCTAAGTTAGCATTATAATAGAAGCTTAGATATTTAACGTTTATACTTTATTTTAGTTTATATATAAATATCTAAGTAGTTAAAAGAGAGTTATATTTTTTATAATATAGTTAATATTAAATATTATATATATTAATTATATAGATATAATTAATACCTACCTCTTTATTTATCTATATAGTAATATTATATACTATTAATTTACTTAACTTTAAGAGGTCTTTAATATATACTTATATTACCTCCTTACTACTTACTACTTTATATACTATCGCTTAAAACGCTTAACTATATAGCTTTAACTTATTAGTAATAAGTAAGTAGTTATATTAATTATTAACTATAGAGGTAGCTTATCCCTCTAAAGTTTATAATAATTATATAGACTATTAATAACTTATTTTATTAGTTATTAAATCTCTAGAAGTTATTATAAACTTCTTAAGGTAGCTTCTATACTTATAGTTTAGATCCTACTAATATTTAACACTATATACTATTAATTATAATTTACTTCTAATTATATTATACTTAAGGGGCTTCTAATACTAATAGACCTTTTTAATAAACTTATTAAAGGTAAAATTAGTTAATTTCATACTAAGAATATAGTAATAATAAAAAAATAGATAAATTTAGTGAGGATATTAATACTTTAGTATTAGAGAGATATATAGTAAGTTAAGTTATTAATAAATAATATATTTATACGTTCTAAGTAACTTACTTTAATTTATATAGCTATTATATAAAATATCTAGTATAAAGATAGTTTAAGTAGCTATAAGGTAGTAGGTACTTTCTATAGCTATAACGTTTATAAACTGCTAAAAGGGGTTTAACTAGGTGCTGAAGAAGCGACTGGGGGGTGCTGAATATAGCCCCTTAACATGAGCAGGGCGGGAAAGGCACTGTGGACTGTGGGCATGTGGACACCACACACCCCGATGGAAAAAGAACACTAAGGACCACTGTGACCTTCGCCTGGTATCCATAGGTACCCACGTACCGACAGGGGCGACGGTGCTTGTGCTGGATTGGCGCCGTTTGGTTGGCTCGCGACGGTAAGGCGAGCTCGGTTAATTACGGACAGACGGCGAGACGGCAGGCGCGATGGATGGAAGTGTACAAGTACGGTGCAATCTGCCAATACGACACGACGCAGGCCCCCAAAGTAAGGGAAAATATCATTAGGCTGGCAATTCGCCTCAACTTGACAGACCGGAGAATGGGACTGATGCAGAAGGAGAAGCGCGCCACTGCACCGTCTGTCAGATGAACCCCTCCCTCCCTCTACTGCGTAAAATCTAAAAGACGAGCATGTGCATTCGCGACAGGTGTAGCGTTCGTTGCTTTCACCAGCGGCTACACAACGCCGTGTAGCCCCAACCAAACCCAACCCAAGCCCGCGCCGTTTGACTCTCCTTTGTGCCCCCCCTTGCGTTTCCATGCCGTATCCTCGCACCAACTTCCTTTTGATCTGTAGCCTCCCGAAAGCCAAGCCGACCGACCAACGGCGCCAAACGACATCACGCTGTACTGCACTGCAAATGGAAAACGGCAAAAGGAGAGAAACCCCCATGCCTATTCGTACCTACGGTCTCTACGGAAGGATGTCTGCTACAAAGCGCCCAGAAACAGAGAGTCTCGACAAGTCCCCGAGTCAAGTCAACCTTTTTTTTTTTTTTTTTTTTTTTTTTTTTTTTTTTTTTTTAGCTTTCTCTTTCTCGTTTCGCTTCTTGTTGCTGCTGCTGCTGCTGCCGTTTTCCCAGTCTCCCATCTACGTACTTTGAATGATCTTGCTTACATAGGTAGGTACTAGGCAGTCAACCATGTTCCTCGTTACTTACCTCTTGAGTACTAGGTGGTTTGAAGGTGCATCAGTGAGTCCCTGTCGCTCCACCATGACGCCACTCTGTGAGTTCGCACCTGCTGAAAAGGAAACTGCCTTCAGTGCCCCTGAAAATGCGCCCGTCCTCATCCTGGCTGCACCCGCGAAATTGCCACAGATTCATCGCGCCTGTCTCAATCAACTCTAAACCCCAGTCTTCATTCGCGCTCAAAACCTTGGGAAAGAAGTAATCACGGATACGCAGTACATAATCCAGAGTCAGACTCTTGACAAGTTGTTCATATCAGTTGGTCGCTTCGCAGCCTGCCGCCTCATGAGCTGGCAGCTGACATTCAGCTGCTCTGCGCCAGCCTGCCTTGCCACGCGAATCAATCCGGGCGGAAGGCGCCCCCCCCCCCTATTTTTGGATCTCGGCTGCGGGATTCCGCCATCTTCTGCCATCTCTGGCTATCCACGTCCAGAGCACCTCTTCTTCTTTCAATCCCCAAGCCAAGAGCATGTCAACCACAGACTAGTCTTGTCGGACACATTTTCATGTGCACTAGTTACCGCGTAGCCACCTTCCTAGCCCACCTTCATGACTTGTGCCAAGTCACCATACTGATGAGACAGTGAGCAGTCGTCCGTTTCTCTCCTTTTAAATGTGCCCACCAGACTTGTCTTTGATGCAGATGGCCCCGTTTCCCCATCGCCTGAGTCGGGTTCCGCGGCTGCTTCATCACCCAGCATCCTGGTCGACCGCCGTCCCGTCGCAGCCACCCGGCCTGGCTACGACCCCAATCTCGACGCCGATTCATCCGTTTCAATCCCGAAATTCCCTCGCGGATATCTCACTTTATTTGACTTTAACCCGCCCCATTGCCATCATACTCGGGTCCTATCTCATCTCCCGAGCCCGCCACTCGTTGCCATTCAGAATGCTCATCCGCTCTCGTACTCAATGCTCCTTTGCGTACTGCTGCCACTATCGTCATTACATTTCAGAATCCGGCCGATCCACCATGGGCCGCAACACTCTGTCATCAGCTACTTAAGCTGCATGTCTGTGGCTGTTTGAGGGGAACAAGCTACAAACTGCCGCTCTCGTCGCATCAGAAAAATACTTCTAGCTTGACTTGATGCGCCTGCATGAAACTTCCCGTTTTGAGCTGCCAGGTTCATCTCATCTTCCCAGCGGCTCGGGTTGCAGAACCCCGCATCGATGCCGTCCCACGTCTATTGATACGTCTCTCAACTTCTTCATAGGTTGTTCCTTCTCCCGCCATGGTACAATGTTTCGAGCCACCAGGCAGCTTGTGTGTTAAAATACAGCACGTTGGCCAATCTTGTTCCGCTTGAAGCCGGCGATCGCTTTTGGTTTTGGTAACAGCACCGCATGGCCTCCATGTTATCATGTTGCTCTCGTTGTCATCGCTTGGACTCCCTTGGGACGTTATGCAGTTATGTTACGGTTTTGTTGATAGAGTTTTGTCCGGGGCATTGTGGACAATTCCTACAGAAAGTGTCTTCTACCTACGCGCCAGACGCTCCTTCTTGATCCCCGATGAGATGATGTGGTAGAAGCTGTACGTCCGTTGAAACACCAATTACGGAAACCCTCATACAAGTGCAAGCGCAAAACTCGAAGCCGCCGTTAAATACCGCTTGGAATGGGGTCTCCCCAGGTTCAAGTCATTATTCAAACTAGAGATGGTTGTTTACATGATCCTAGTCTGCTCCGCCACCTGACGAATGACATTTTGGTTCCTTCCATTACGGATACATGTATGGAAATTATTCACCAGGTTGCGGTTATTCTTCTCCTCGGAGTTCCTTGCTAAGAGGCGCCTGTCGCGTCCAAATGTTCATGCCAACCTTCTGCCCACTGGTCACAGGCAGCCCGGCGTGCAGATTTCGCTGGTCTCCAGTGCCATCCCACAAAAGATTCTCCCAGTACACAAAATTGCCTTCCACCGGACGGAACGTCACCCCATTCTCCCAAGGCTCGTCGCAGTCGATAAACTCGCACCACCGTTCGTCGTGAGGGGCATCTAACATGGGGAAGTTGGTTCCCCCGCCCGTCACATTGACAACAGAGACATATCCAAAGAAGGACGATATCCTATTGCCCCCCTGAGATGCCGTCGTGTGCTTGGGATCTGTGAACCAGTCGGTGTGGAAGTGATACCGCTGGCCCTGCCCATACTTGACTAGTTGCAGGGGTTCAATGTGACTCTTGGGCATGCTGTAGCCTTGGAACGCGATGGCACGGTCCTCGATACAGCGAACGACATCATCCCGCCATAAAGCTGTGCTCTGCGAGGTGCGGACTTGATGGGTTGTCTTTCCGCCGGCTGCGTCGATGACGCCGGAGTGGGTGAAGGTCTCGCTTCTATGGGCTGTCAGCGGGGTGGCAGGCAAGCATGGGAATAGATATCTCGGTTCACTCACCCAAGCTCCAGAAGATGTTTTCGTTCGGCTGGTGTAACGAAATCTGGAATGTAAATGACCAGTGGCGATTTCGAGACTATGTGCATCTTATATGGTGGGTGAGTGCATTGGTAGTTGGTCATTGGCTTCTGATCTTGTCCGACAACTGGGGTTGCCAGTGCTGCCACGAGGGCCAACCTTTTTGCTGCTGTAAGGAACCTCATTTCGCTCACTTCGACGTATCAGTACATGGAAAATGGTGTTCGGGAGTGGGAGTCTCACGATATCCCTTTTATCAATCAGTCAAGCCAACAGCTAAAGTCGGATGACGGATCCGATTCAGGAGCTGATGAAACTCAATGTGTTTTGGGGCTGGCGTTCACAGGCTGGTGGCTTAACTCTCTGAGCAAGTCGGAGGCTAGTTCAGGGGCTTCCTTGTCTGATCTTCGTGGCTCAAGGGGTGAAAACGGTGCGATCATGGGGCGTCGGCCCCCAAAGCACTGGGGTAATCCCCCGGAACGTGTTGGAACCTAAAGCTCCCCCGAGCTCTTTTTCAACGTCGTCTGGTTTCTCATTCTCTTCTCAGTCATTGACTAGGTGACACGGGATCCAAATATTTGATTATGTTTTTGAACACAGTCGGTTTGGTGCTAGGCGCTGCACAACTCGTGCGTTGTTGGAAATTCGCGACCGCGGACGAGTTTCGCAGTGCCTTAACGAGGAACCAAGACACGTTGGTTGCTTGTGAGTACATTATCCCTGATATGGCCCCAAACATGAGTTCTGACCTGCCCCAGTCGTTGCGGTGAGCTCTTCTCTTGGATTTGATAACTGCTACAGAAAACCGTTTTCTGATCTACATTAGCCTTCAAGGTATGGTCTCCCATTGTCAGGAAGACGACGCCGAACACGCTTGTACTGATTCGTATTGCAGCGCTGCAAGCGACAGCCTCGAACCCCAATGGGCAGAGGTCCATCAAGAACACCCCAACGCCATCGCAGTCGACTGTCTCCACGACCGTTCTCTCTGCGACGAGACTGATCTAGCGTCTTTCCCGGCCATCAGACTGTATCTTAAAGACGGCAGCATGCAAAGATACCGCGGGCCCCGCAGGACTAAAGAGTATTTGTCCCATTTTGAAATCTGAGGGATTCATGGCTAAAGGATACCGACAGTATCACGGCTTTTGTGAAGAGATTGTCGCGTCCAGTAATCACATATGTCACGCAAAATGCTGCAAGTGACTTCTCAAAAAGCGACAATGTTGTTCTCGTCGCCAGACTGGCGAATAACGACGACAGTCTGCGAGTGAGATTCGACAATTTAGCAAAGCATTACCATGACCGATATTCCTTTGGTGTTGTGCAAGGTTCAGATACATCGTCTAGCGTGAGCTGCCATAACAACCTCGACAGCCTCCAGTTCAATGCAAACGACCTTTCGGCAGTTGATGCGTTACAGTCGCTCATCCATCAGTGCTCCACGCCTCTCGTGGCACAGCTCACGCGGAGGAACGAGATGGAACACTTGAGTGTAAGTTTTCACAGTCGAGACGTGTGTTTGAGTGGGCTCTTACTGCTACCAGGCTGGCAAATCGCTTGTATCCTTCTTCGCCTCTGACCACAACCGACGGGAAGAGTATTCCAGCGACATCAGACAGCTCGCAAGAAACTTTCAGGAGTACCTCAACTTTGTTACTGTGGACTCTAGCGAGTATCCCGACATGCTAGTAGGGTTAGGACTTCCAAGAGACGTATCTGAAGCATTGGCGCTTCAGAACCCCCAAACTGGACAGATTTTCCCGTACATTGGCAAAATTGACGCCAAAAGCGTGGAAGGTTTCATTGTCGATATCTCCGAGGGCAACATCCAGCCTTGGGATGGTCAGTTGCCAGTGGCAGAGCAGGATGGGGTCCAGATTGGGCATGATGAATTGTAGGCATTAGCTGCCAGCTCTTAATATCTCCAGCCAAAATTTAAGCTGGAAGTATCAGTGGACTGGACAGAATTCGAGATGTCGAATAACAGCATACTAGTTTGCCATATGCTGCGATGCGAAACTCGGCAGAACCAGGTCATGTCGCCCACTCAAGTTCGTAGGAGGTGGGGGCGTCAGCATGGCAGGTCGTCGCGACCAATTACTGCACAGTTCCCGTCTGACTCATCCAAACATTTGGTGCTTCGGAGCAAAAGGCCAAAAGTTATCTTTGCCCTCCGTCACCATGAAAGATTTGGACCAAACTGCCTGTCAAAATGGACCAATACCGGTATGACATGATCCTTCCAATGTCGATTCTCTGCAGTCACTGCCAAGCGATCCCTCTCAACGACGACCAACTCGGCAGTCATAGAACAGTAGCAGCAGATGGGTCACAGTATCTTGACTTTGACAGCGAGTGTGAATCTTTCGAGATTCCGATTGACTGGCATTTCGAAATCAGTTGGCCATCGCTCGAACAACTCCATGCTCGTCTGCAAAGTTTCTATTGTCCAATTTGTCGTTGGATTAAAGAAGCACTCACTGAGATTCGTGCGGACAGAATGTTTGAGTTGCATGAAATCAGAGGATTTGTCAAGACATCGTTATCTTACGCATGGGGCCTGTCTCCTGGAGCTGCAAGACGCGGGCTTCGGGCGTTAGTAATGAATGCCCACTTTCACTCCTACAGCAAAAGTAAGAAATGGCGTAGTTTTTATGATTAGACATTGACCAGTTATACAGATTTGATAAAAAGTCTTTCCGTTGATTTTCGAATCACGTCCAGCAGAGTAATTCCCACCAACACATCATCGGGTAACTATTGAACATGACACTCGATTGAAAAAGCAGGAAGACTAATGTCCTGGCCTTGTAGATAGTCTAGGCGCACAACCCGTTGCTTCATGGCTCAGTCTTGGCGACCCAATCTCTTACCTGGATCCTGAATACGTTCAATGGATGGAAGAGAAGCTTTCCTTGTGCGAAAACCATACACAAGTTTGTCATCCCATGGCACGAGAGCATTTCATCCCCGACAAACTCATAGACGTGTCCAATGATGCTCTCAAAATCGTTCCAAGAAGGGAAATATGGCAGGGACCCGAAACATTTGACCGAAGATATGCGGCCCTGAGCTACTGTTGGGGAAAGAAAGAAGATGCCTTAGCTCAGGCAAAACTGACCACGGCGAACATGGCCCAAAGGCTTCAGAATTTTGATTTTTCAGAGCTCACTATTTCAATCCAAGAATCCATAATGGTCACTAGAGCTCTTGGATTGAGATATCTCTGGGTCGACGCACTCTGTATCATTCAGGGTGCTGGAAGCGACTGGGCCATCCAGTGCGCCATCATGGACAAGATTTATCGCAATGCATACGTGACTGTCTGCGCGTTAGGGTCGGCCAGCTGTCAGCAAGGGTTTCTGCAGAAGCGAGCAAAGATGACTCTACCTTTTCAATCCCGACTTCATCCCAGCATCACAGGCTCGTTTGCAGTTGACCAGCCAGTCATCCGCGAGACAGGACACTGTCTGGACCCTTGGTCAATGGACTATGATGTCGCAGAGAGTAACTGGGACGACAGAGGATGGACCTTCCAGGAAAACGTGCTTTCAACACGAATGTTGCTATTCGGGAAACGCAGTGTCCATTTCTCTTGCTCCGAATTTCACGTTTCCAAGCAATGCCGTCACTGGGCTGGGAGCGAATCATTTCAATTTCCATCAGCGAAGCATATGGAGTATGACCGCGTTGAACTTTATGATAGGTGGTCTTCCCGCCTCGTCACCTCTTACACGGACCGGACCAAAACCCTGACAGTTGGAACGGACGTTTTGCCAGCATTTGCGGGCACAGCTCGCCTATTCCAGGATCTAGTTTGTGACGAATATGTAGCAGGACTCTGGAAAGGGGATCTCCACCGGGCATTGGTATGGATGCGCGTTGAGGCAGCAGATGACCGAGTCTGGCTGGATGGGCTATTGAGCCCCAGGACTTACATGGGACCCTCATGGAGCTGGGCCAGACTTGCCCACATGTGCGACGGAGTTGCCTTCCCCATGTATCAAGTCGGAGAGTACGCTGTGTTTTCACACACCCGCTGCCAGCCAGAGTATGATCTGCATCATTTCGAGGCTACGCCTTCCGGGCCCAATCAATTTGGTGCAGTATCCAACGGCGTATTGGAAATTACCGCCAAATCGCTTTCTCTTAAATCCAGCATGTTGACGACACAGGAACAGGCGGCGTGGTGCGACGAAAGCATTTTCCGGCTTCAATGCGATGGAAAAACCACCATCGATATACAGTTGGACTTTGAATGTCTCCAAAATGATATCGTAATGGTTCCTTTGGGGGTGGAGGCTTCAAGACTTCGATTGATCCTCATTGGGAGTACGATCGAAGAGCCCAAGGCTAATGAGTTCTGTGAAGACGATGCTGAGAGCGACGAATGGATAGAATGCCGCATTGATCACAATGAGCAGCGTGGAGTGCGTCATCCCATTGAAGGAAAACAGCCGTCGAGACCTATAGCAAAGAAGGATCGAACGGCATATGGGTTGGTGGTCTACCCGACGCTCGTGAGTGGAGAGTTCTACCGGGTTGGGATATTCTTCTCTACACCGCAATCAGGGGCAGGACTTGATGCTTTTGATCTGTCTCATACGGAGAGAATATCTATTGTCTAGGGAAGTCTCAAGTGTATATCCTTCCTTCTTACTCATTCAGACCCGCACAGAAGCTACGGATCATACGGTCCTGTAGCTCGGCGACCTGTGAGTAGTTCGGCTTCTCCAGACTCTTTGACGAGATAGATGTCTTCATGTCTTACACCAAACCTGTTCTCAAGGTAGATGCCTGGCTCATTGGTGAAGGTCATGCCCGGCTGAAGCAAAACTTGGTTGTTCCACTTATTCAAGTAAGGGGACTCGTGGGCTAAGAAACGTTAGCAATCATACGTGGGTCTCGGCGGCGGGTACGAAAACTCACCTTTGATACCAATGCCATGTCCCAGACGGTGAGTAAAACCGTAACCGTAGCCTGCATCCTCAATAACAGTGCGCGCGGCAATGTCAACACTGGCAGCCGTGTTGTTCGGCTTGAAGGCAGCAGCAGCTGCAGTCTGTGCTTCCAACACAATGTCCCAGACCTTGAACTTCTCCGCTCGGAGCTCGGAGGTCAATTCAGAGATATGCATTGTTGATGACTTCCCGAGAAGTCCCAGGAGCATGCCAATCATGCTGCGGCTTTCTATCTTGGGCGGGTCAATGAAGAAACTGCGACAGATGTCCGAGCTGTAACCCAAATAGTGAGCGCCAACATCAATGACGACCATGCTCTCGGTCGTCAACTTCTTCCAACCAGTGACGAAGCCGCCATGGGGTAAGGCTCCGTGCTCTTCAAACAAAACAATGTTGAAGAAGAGTTGGAAGTCGATGGACACAAGAGCACCGTTCAGGATTTCGGTTACCTCATCTTCGGTGAGACCAGGAACTAGACAAGGCCGCATTGCCCTAACCGCAACCACGGTCCCAGTGTTGACGGCGCGGAGCAGCTCTACTTCTGCAGGAGTCTTCTGTTGTCGCACGAGCTCCACTTCCGGGTTCAGACCGACGGTCTCAAATCCGACGGAGCCCAGACCACGGACGATGTAATCACGCATCTCCTCATCAACCATGACTTTGGCCTTGTGGCCATCGAAGAGACGCGACTTAAGTAGTGTATCGTATGGATTCCAGTGCTCTTCCCAGATCACAATGTCAAGATCCTCGTCTCTAGAAGGAATTCCCAACATGCGAACTCGGCCCTCTTCGAAATGGGGGGACAGAAAGGCTGTTTTGGCAGTGACTTCACCAGATGATGAGGTCTGAGGCAAGACTAACATCAGAAACGGTCGCTCCTCAGGCTCCCATGGCTCCCAATCAACCTGGGAAATATTGCCATAGTATCTTTTCCCACGTCAGAACGGACAGAAAGGCTACTTTCACAGGGCGGACTAGCTTACTGAAAAGTGTAGCCGGGTTCAAGTACGAAGGCGTCTACACCTGTAGCGGCTAAGGCCCTGGCGAGACGATCCCGTCGCTCAATGAACTCGTCGCTGGAAATGGGCACAGCAGAGTCGAGAAATGACAAGTCAGACTTCAAGTTGTCGATGGCGCACTGCTGAACCTTTTGGAAGACTGTTTGTTGGCTGACGTGGGACAAAGAAGATTTGTAGAAGGTGATAGCCAAAAGAAAGAGCGCAGTCGCAACAAGGGGAACCATTCGGGTGCGGCTCGCCTTCGGATGCGGCATCGGAGCCGGAAAGGCTGGAGCGCCTATGGGATGCTTCTCTGGATTGGGCATCGGTCGTTTTGTATCTTCAACAGACAATTGCAGATTTGTGTCTTTCTAATTTTTTCGCGAGTGAGAAAATGACAGGCAAATGCAGAGACAACGGAGGATGAACTGCCGAGAGGTCGGATGTCGGGGGCTGTCCGACTTCGCGCACCAACCCCTCTCCGGGGTGCAGCAGATGCGGATCATTTCCTGGCTTTGGAATGTTCCCCACACGAGTCATGCCAGCCACGCAGCAGGTACCAACACTTGCAGCGGCCAACTCGTATCATTCGCAAGGGTGTTGATAACGCATGCGTGTTTCCCTCGGGTTACATCGCCGAACCGGACCAGCAGATAGGAATGCAATCGCTGCCTGTTATTTGCCGAAGACCTGAGGAACCCGGTCCAGAGGGTTGGGTGAGATATCGAGCCGCGGTAATGAGTAAAATGGATGGGTGGTCCGCCGGAGTTTGGGGAGGATTGTCGTTACCCTCTTCTCTCCCGGTTTTGCCCATCAATCTTATGTTTTGCCCGTGGAACTGCAGCGAACCGGCATTATGAGCGCCGAACCAACACACGACATCGACGCGCCCGCAAAGGTGCCGACGACTTTTGCGGGCAACGACAAGATTGCAACCGATGATGCAAAGGTGGCTGCGAACGTGGAGAAAGGAGAAATAGACATCATGACGGAGGAGCCTGAGAAGACCTATTACAGCACCGTTTCTGTCTGGCTTATGGTCTTATTCTCTGGCTTGGCGATTGGTTCTGACGGATAGTACGACTCTTTCCGAACTCTCGTCATGTCTAGTCTTAATCCCTCTTGACGTCCGAAACTAACAGTTGTCTCTGCAGCAATGCCGCCGTCATTGGCAATGTGGAGCTGCTACTCGCTATTCTATATCCCGACGAACTAACTGACACAATCTACCAGCGTCTGTCAAATGCGTTCCTCATCGGAATGATTGTTGGCATGCTGCTTTTTGGCGTGGTAGTTGACCAGCTTGGACGAAAGACCGGCGCCGTTGCAACCACAGTTCTGTTGGTGCTGGGCATCACGCTCTCCACGGCGGCCAGTGGAACAAACCCGACTGGAATGTTCTGGATGTTGATTGTGGCTCGCGGTATAGCCGGCGTTGGTGCTGGTGGAGAGTATCCTGTGTCAGGCGCTGGTGCAGCCGAAGCCACAGACGAAGACGCCAAGTATCGCAAGAGGAGAGGCTTCATGTTCGCCATGTTGGCGGATCTGTCAAGCAGTCTGGGATATATTTGGGGCGCTTTGGTGCCCTTGCTTCTCTTGCTGTGTGTTGGTCAGCAAGTTTCCAAGTATGACATCGTCTGGCGAACATCTTTTGCTCTTGGAATGGCGCCCCCGCTTCTTATTTTCTGGTTCAGAATGCGCATGGCCGTTTCAACAGCATACCGCAAGTCAGCAATGCGTAAGCAGCGCACACCTTACTGGCTGGCTTTGAAAAGATATTGGAGGCCTCTCATCGGCTCCGCTTCGACTTGGTTCCTGTACAACTGGATCAGCATTCCTTTTGGTATTTTCAGCTCCACCATCATGTCTCGAGCCAACGCCGGTGACAGCCTCGTGAAAACACTTGGATGGGGTGTCGTAATCAATTGCTTTTACGTACCCGGTCCCTTCATCGGAGGATATCTCTCCGACAAGATTGGTCGACGTCAGACTATGGCCTTGGGGTTCACACTGCAGGCAATCCTCGGATTTGTTCTCGGTGGAGCGATGAACCCTATCCAAAACATCTTCCCATTGTTCGTCGTGTTGTACGGTATTTTCTTGACGCTGGGCGAAGTTGGACCCGGAAGGTAAGTGAGACGAGGGCGAGTCGCCTAGATTCGGCGGAAAAGCTCGACTAACAAGCTATCCAGTACGGTTGTCTTGACTGCTTCTGAGTGTTTTCCAACGTCCATCAGAGGACAGATGATGGGTCTAATCTCGGCTTTCTCAAAAGCTGGAGCGGCTATTGGGACACAGGTAACTTCGTCTCTTCTCGCTAGATTGTGGTCTTTGCTCCTCAAACTGACTCATCTAAGGTATTTACGGCCATTCTCAACTCCTACACGTCGGATCCCTCCAAAGGAAACCAAGTAGCTTTCCTAATTGGCTCAGGGTTTGCTGTTCTAGGTGCCATAATCGCGCTGTTTGTTATTCCGGACGTGTCCCGCCGGCTGAACGATGACGATGAGGCTTGGAAAAAATATCTGCAGGAGAACAACTGGGAGGCGCAGTGGGGTGACGAGGTTACTCGAGATCCATCGGGAGTAATTATGAACAAGGCTGCCTCCTGAGAATGAGGTTCTCAGTTCCATGAAAACTGGGATTGAATTAATGGTTACCAAAGGTCCGTCTGGCCGAGCTTGACAAGTTACTGAGCCCGGGTGGTAATTTTCTACTGCTGCTGCTCAAATGGGTTCTGACAATCGTAGCGCTCGACATTTACTGTGTGACCCGTGTCCGAGAAATTGAGAAATGCGTCCTGACTCTGTCCTTAAAAGTTGAGATGGCGCCAACGTGTAGGCTGTGTGATTGCATCTTGTGAAGCGGCATGGCAAGGTAACATTCGGTCAAGATCCCCTTGTGATGATCCTTGTTGACCTACCTATTGAGGGTTAGCGAGCTAGAAATACGAGAGCCAAGAAAACAGACTCGGGTAACCAGCAGTTTCTATTATTGTTGCGTGATCAAAGCTAGAGCATAAAACGTGAAATCTCCCGCCGGAAAAGTTAGTTCCTTTCAATTTCAGTTCACCAGCTGCGTCAAAATGAGGTTCAGTCTTTCTATTATTTTGAACGGCGCTCCATTTGCCCTTGCCCAAATCTTGGCAGGTCAAGAACTTGTGATTCCGGATAAATACATCATCAGTCTGAAGACGAGTATACCCGAGACTGCTGTTGAAAACCATCTCAGATGGGTGCAGGAAGTCCACAACAAGCGGGATTTATCCCGTCGCGACCTCGTCGGAGTTGAAAAGACCTTTGGTATCGGCTCTTTCCACGCTTATACGGGTTCTTTCGACGAAGAAACCTTGAGGGAGATCCAAGGAGATGAAGTCGTACGTCGAGTCAAAAAAGAGAATAGTGGGATTATGTTTGACTTTTGTGACAGGTCGAGCGTGTGGAGCCAGACACTTCCATCTATCCGTTTGATGTTGTGTCCCAGCAGCAGGCGACATGGGGTTTGGGCACTATTTCACACGTGGCCCCCATTGATGCCAATGACAACCTCAGAGATGGATTCGAATATCGCCACGAAGAAAATGGAGGAGAAGGTACGTTCGCGTATGTGATTGATACCGGTGTCTGGATCGACAACCCCGACTTTGAAGGGCGCGCCGAACTAGGATACACTGTATTCGCGGACATCCCCTTCGAAGATAGCACTGGCCATGGCACGCATGTTGCTGGTACTATTGCGTCCAAGACATGGGGAGTTGCGAAGAAAGCGCGTGTCATTGCTGTCAAAGTAATTGCACCTGGTAGAGTGAGTAACTAAGTGGAATGACGGAGACACAGAGGCTCACATACATCTGCAGGGTGTCATGTCGGACTTTATGGATGGATTCTCTTGGGCTGTGAACAACATCACGTCGATCCCTGGTCGTGCTGCAGTGTCAGTTATCAATATGAGCCTGGGTGAGTCATATGTGACGGCAAACTTGGTTCGGATAAGCTGACCCCAAAAAAGGCGGCCCAATCAACTACGCATTTGATAGCCTGGTGCACGCAGCATCTGAGCAGGGGATTTTGTCAGTCGTCTCCGCCGGCAACGCTGGTGTTGATGTGAACCGCGTATCTCCAGCGGGAGTAGTCAGTGCTATCACGGTCGCAGCTAGCGCTGCAAACAACACTGTTCTAAGCTACAGCAACTTCGGATCCAAAGTTGACTTGTATGCTCCAGGAGTTGACGTGTACTCGCTTTCATTAGAAGCAGGAAAAGACGTAGCATTGACTGGCACATCTATGGCCTCGCCCCACGTTTCTGGCCTGGTGCTGTACCTGAAGAGCCTGGAAGGAGGCCTAGAGTCTATTGAGGCAGTGACTGCCAGGATTTTAGAGCTGGCTAAGCCGGACGTCATTGATGGAGTACCGGAGTACACGCCCAATCTGCTCGCATACAACGGAGTCGAAGCAAGCTTGTAGCAAAGAGGGCGAGGGTAATCTCTGAGACATTAGTAAACCATCTTAGGCAAAGAAAATAGGTACATCGTACGACCTAGCCCACGCTGCCATGCCGGCGTCACGAGGAAAGACATTTCAACGCTACCGGACTGTGCAATTTCTTTAACACCGAAGAAAATCCACCTCTAACCCCGAACCTTCTGGTCTAGATCCAGACAAGATTGGATTCGAGGACTTTCGGGTGTTTTGCCGTGTCATTTCCCCGCCTTGATAACCCGCCACACGGGTGCATCTCCGGTCTAAAAGGGGTGGGGGGTGTGGGGTCCTACTGAATAGATTCACTCCCGCACTCCCAGGGAGGTCAACTACAGCTCTTTCGCTTCCATATAAAGTAGTGAACCCCCAAAGAAGATGGGATTCTTGGTCGTCGACATAGATACTCAACAAATACATCAGCCAAATCCATACGCCACCTACAATGACATTTAACTACGAGTTCAAAGCCAGTTTCAGTCCGGCACCAGCCACAGCACTTGTACTTTTCATTGGTTTCTTTGCCTGGATTACATCAACGGTAGGTTTATGCTCATATCTCATCCTGTATTCATGACTGACATCGACCATGAAGATTAGAAAACGGCGTCTTTCCAACGAGCTCAAGTCTGGTTTCAGACAATCGGAGAACCACGCTCATAAAGTAACGACCAAGGCCCCTTTGGAACGGCTTGAAGACTCCGACTGGAAATCCGCATCACCAAGGAAATTCAGACCTTTCAAGCCAATTTATCACATCACCATGGGTTCGTGTTTTTCATAAGAATGCCGGCGAGACTGGTTCTGACAGCTCTGAGTACAGCCCTGCAGTCCGATACGCCGTCCGATCTTATCACAATCGACAAAGACTATCTTGAACGAATCAATCTTCGCAAAACCCTCATCGAAAAACATGGCCAGACAGTTCATGGATATATTCCATCCGGCCAGGATGCTGTGCAAGAGCTGTACAGCTACCTGATGGCAGAATACCTACCCACCCGATATCCCACATTATTCGAACTCGCGGAAAACGGCAGCATCGTGAGGAATCAGGTAACACGAGATGAATACTCAGTCGAAACTCCAATCGATACACTTGCTGACCTACGTGCAGTAGGCACGTCGGTCGAAGAGGACATTTTCATTCTGAAACCAACACCTGGTGGACATCAGTGTGTGGCATTCATGTGCTGCTTCCCATCAGGGTGGAACCCTGCCTCGAAGCTTGGGAAACATATGAATGCCATTCACACCACTGTTCCAGCGTATGAAAAAATAGGACCTAGCATGGAACGTTTCTTCACAAAGCTGAAAGTTGGAGAGAGCGTTAAACGTGTCAATGTAAAGTCTATCTCGCGACAAAAAAAAGGCTCAGAATGTGTAAGCTAACGCAGTAGAACCAAAGTGGACAATTCAGACTCACACAAGTCTCTATAATGCGAAGGGGAACCATATCCACGGCGAATACAAGGCTGATCCCGAAGAATATGTTGATGCAGAAAAGGTAGATATAGAAAGACTTGTGAGGCCGAGGATGAGATGAGCCAGCTAACAATTGCAAAGGCATTTGTGCGATGCGAATTGCAGACTTTGAGCCGACTCCCGAAGTCACACAGCATTCTCTTTTCTTTCAAGACATACTTGTACCCCCTGAAAGAGATCAAGGCGGAGGGCATGGGTTCTGCACTTGCTGATGCAATTGAAGGTTTGAAAAAAGGAAACTGCCTAGGAATGTGGAAGTATAAAAGCGCTGTCAGATGGGGAAAGCCGGTTTGCGAGTACCTACGCGGTGCTTGAGTTAATGATGGCATCGAAACGCGCTAGCTTGAAACTATTATTGTGCACTCAAATTGTAAATGACAAGTTTCTACCGTAATTTCATCCTTAATGTTGGTGACCTTTTATGCGACTTTCTAGTCAAACACACATTATGTGGGAGGTTTGAGACTCTGGGGGAACAGATGCTCGTGCTCGTCCTCGTGTCAATTTAATGACTTCGTTAATGGGACTGACACTTTCTTCCCTTATCCTTCGTTCAGGCTTCAACAGGAGTTGAATCACAGAATAGGCGAACACGGAGAGACGTGGGGAAATAGCTGGCAGAACTGCAAGAGCAAGGTGGCGTGTCTGTAGCAAGTGTCCATTGGAGGTGGTACTATGTACGGATACCCCAGTCAATTCCAGATCTAGATGCTGGGGATACGCCATTTACGCGGATTGCGGTGATACGCTAGACACGCTCTGGGGCCCCCACCCAATAGATAGCTGCCAGTGGGATGGATGACGGACTGCTGAACGGGAAAGTCAAAAGAGACCCAACTAATTGCACGGCAATGGACGTTAGCCAATGGTAGAGTGGCAAAGACTATTTACCACATACTAACATTGATACCCAGGACCTGCGGCGCTGGTGATTGTTGTGAGTGCGGGGGCATGAGGATTCTTACCTTTAAGGTACACTGTCCCAATTTCCAAAACTTCTCCCCAGAATTGTGCCTGGATTACCATACTGCGAAGTGGGAGTGTTGCAATCCATTTAATCCCGATCATTCTCATGGTTTCTGTCGATGGCAGCGCCGGTGTTGTCCTAGGCGTGTCGCCCGTATCGTCCGTAATCGCGCACGAGGGCAATGTGCACTTCAAGCCACGAAAGAACACAGAATCCTTACGCACTAAAAGCACAAGTCACATGTGCCTCGGTAATGAGACGAGTCATCTTCAAAGAAGCACGATTGAGACTTTTCAGTCATCCCGAATTACATGGTGATTCAGTAGTAAAATATCCAGACTGCATCCAATGTTAATTCAGAGTTTAATCGATCATACGTTTGCTCCGAATCATGGAATGTAAACAGTCTCACGGCTATGGGAGAGCATTATACGAACCAAATCAGGTATTAACCCCGAGATTGGACCTACTGGAGTACAAGCTTTACCAGCCCTTGCCAAGCCTTGCGTTCCAGTCCTGCAGGTTGATGTGAAGAATGCTGAAAACGTAAAGACGACTAATTCGTAGCAGCTACCTCGTGGACGGTAACTCTGTCCTTCTTACCGCGCTCGAGTCACTGGATCGTCGCTTCTTTCTGATACTACAATCATTCAGCGACGGAGTTATCCTTGCTATTGGATATCCTCTTTTTCCAGACTCAAGCACAGTGATGTGTCCTCGGCGGACAAAGAACCTCACCCCGCCTGCTGAAGGCACGCTCGCATTGGAAAGAGGAGCTGATGCTTTTCTCGACCTGATTCAAGGTAAGGTGAAAGATCTGGTGGTTGAACGAAGGCTTCGGGACACGCGTGGCGCTACTATTGGGAAGGAGGCACTCCTTGGCCATCCTCTTAGAGGGCTTTTCGTTCTACATGGCCTTTTCAGGAGACCGAATAGTTTCGACTGCTTTCTGACCAGCGGTCCAAGCATTTGGTACAACAACCAATATATCTTGACGGAGGAGGTCCGTGAAATTGAACGCCAACTCCGGTACGCTCGATCCTTGCGTCTGAACTAAATCAACATTTTTGACCAGCCATATTATAATGACCATCGGAGCTAGCGCGCGTGTAGCAGAAATAGCAAGCAGCTGCTGGGTCTCTCTGTATGCAAGGTCGATTGCTTGTCGCTCAGTCGTGCCGATGGCCAATTTCTGTGCAACGACAACAGACGCAAAGATGAACTTTGCCTTTGACGTGGAAGTCGATGGGAGATATTTCTCAAATTTTTTGAGAAGGTTTGAACGCCAAATGGCACCGGAAAGACTGAGGACAGGCCAGGCCAAGCATACCCCATCACGGTTGGCAAGTCACGTACCTTGTTCCAATAGCACCACCAAGATTCATGCTCGCAGAAAACACTACTGTAGCGACGGCGACGTCATCCTGGTCAACCACCGCCTGGATGCAAACCTGGACTGCAGTCTGATATAACCCTCTGCCGAATCCAACTAGCGTCTTTGCGATGATGAAAGACGCCTCATTTGCGGGACCAGCTCCGCGCATATTGACGAGGTAGATTTGGAGGCCCCGGCCTAGGACGCAAAGGGGAACACTATCTAAGACCTAAGGCTTCGCCCTTCTAGAATGTTGTATAAGAAGAGCACCAATCATAGATGAGATCTGGAAAAATATGCGCAAAGAATTGCTGAGTAATAAAGGTTAGCAAAATGAGTACTTGTTTTAAGAGAATCAATAAGATTGAAAGGTACCTATTTAATTCTAGTCGCATGCCCAGCGGAGAAATGACCTGCAACTTGCAGATAGCTGGGAAAAATACCGAAAACATGGAGTAGGGCCATAAATTGAGGACGCAGAGCCCACAAGCAGCTGCAACAGTCCTGTGTCTGACAAGCCGGAAAGGAACAAACGGCTGGTTGGCTCAGCGAGAGTCCCAGACGAAGAGGAGCAGAAATAGCACAACTCCAGCCACGACCATATTAATGAAACTTCTGCTAGGTGTGTTGTGGACGGGAGAGTCTTCCTCCCAGAATCATCATCACCTAGGGGATAGTTCGCTTATGAATCTGTCCCTCGGACGTAGCCCTACTAATGATAGCTGAAACTGACTGTGGATATACGTATGTTACTTTTGAAACTCTCTGTTGTGGTCATGAAATAAATCGTTGGTATTAACCGCTCGCGCAGAGCTGGTAGCTATATGGTTCCTGCCTCCTGAACAGCGAAAGGAGCAAAATCATTTTTAAGGCGGGTGAAGTCTTCATAGTGAAGATCAGGTTGATGATTTCAATAACGTCGAAAGATAGCATAGGTATATCAATATGTTTAGATTGGTATATATGTGAAAATGAGCCTTATCTGATTGCTTAACAGTATCTTAAAGATGATTTAGATATGAAAATAAGACATTCCTGTAGTTTGTGTTACTAGAGGTCATCTACTGTGCAAGGCGATGATTGCATAGTAGGCGATCGATAAAAGCCTATCATATACACAACAAAGTATCTAAATCCTACAAAGACTTACTGAGCAGCTTATCCCTAGATCTAGCAACTATTTCAAGGAGTTTCCATACTATTAATCAGCTTTTGTAGTGAGGATTTTATTACTGCTTAGAGAAAGGTTCGCTCGTTTTCATAAGCGCTGTCCATTTCACTAAGTCGGCACTATGTGAGTCGTCAATTCTGCAGTTTGGGTGCAATACTAGTGAGCTGATTAAGTATGCAAGTGAGAGTTCATCCCAACAAGGGTTCTAATTGTTTTTAGCTTCATTGGTGTTTCCAAGATGCTCTACTGCCTCACTAGCGATGGGTTCAAATGTTCCATATACTGTGCTGAATTTCTGCGGCACGGACGTCAAGAAAAAATCCGATGAAACTGGCAACCCCAAAGAATCGCTCCCCCAAGAAATAGAGAATTGACCCCACGCACCAGCTTGTTATCTGATGACTCGGGCGGGATGCATGCACTGGAAAATGAATGTCTGGAGGGAAGCATGTGGCGCGGGTAAAACATTAAATGTTGGAAAGGCGGATCCCGTTGAAATACACAGAACGTTTAAAGAATGTGCCCTGGCGTTTGATACCGAATTTTGATAACCTACAGGATCCAAGATTGACTCTTCCCGATTTGAGTAATGGCCCCCAAGAATTGAAAGCCAAACGGCAGGATGCAAGCGCTTTGGTTGCGGCACTAATTAGCGCGCTGGATGGTGCCGCCTGATGCGACGACGAGACCCCTCAGTTCCAATATGGTCTCGGAAATACAAGGTGCTTACTTCGCGGGCCCACGTACGTACGTAAGCGAACCACTGTTCGGCATAGGTGTGTGGACAAACATCAACGACCCTTCTCGACCTCACACGCTGATGCGCTGCTTCAGCAAAGGTGGAGTTACCAGCCCCAGCCGTTTCGGGTGCGGCCTCTCTCATTTCCCTGACTGCGTTGAGTGCGGCCATGTTCAGCGAGAGAAGATACTGCTGCTATCAGGTTCACCTGGAGGTGCCGTGGCCCAATCAGTGTACCGTTGCACAGGTTGTGGGCACGGCAGTGTCCCGTCTTCCAGCCCCCAGTCTCCACGGTCACGCGTTACTTAGCATCTCTGGGCCTTATCCTCCACGTGAGTACGAAGGTGCCCGGCGCAGGACCGAAAACAGACATTCAAAGTACTGAAATGTCTCTGCACCAGCTTGATCAACGCGTGACGGCGTAAATACGTAGATGGTTCGTACGACTTTGTCACACACTCCGTTGGCCCAGTCTCTGGCATTCAGCCAGAAGCAACCTGACCATCAACTCAGTGCGGCTTGACAAAAGACCCCGATAACTTGGCAATGCGCTGCCATTCCATTTGGGCGTCTGATCTAATCGACTTTGGGCTGCCCCCGAGGGAGAGGCCGAGATAAAGTTCCAGCTACAACGCTCCCCACGTCCCGATCACTGAGACCCGGGATCTCTCGGCATCCTCTTCCCACCAGCTGCCCTTATCGCTATGGTATCACATTGCTTATCTCTTGCGTTGTGTTCCCAGGACGGAACTCCGGCTCAGCCCTCGTCCCAAAATGAAGCGGGTGTGCAACCACTGCGCTCAATTCCCTCAAGTTCCGCCACTGGCGAGGAACTTTTGCCTATGATGTGCACGGGCAAGTCGACTGAAGGGATTGCTAAAGGAACAAGAAATGATGTAAAAGTCGGAAAAAATCTTTCCAGAAGACATCCGGACCGCTGACGACTGAGCACGTCAGGTGTAGGATGCTGTTGCGACTCGTCCAGATTAAGGATCCACCCCCACACTAATCGACAAGGAGACAAAAAGTTCCTCGTCCCCAACTCGTGATTGGCAGGTCACGAATCCGAGGCTCGCCAAGTCGGCCAGCACACTGAAAAGCTTCGACTGGTGGTCTCGACACTTCCTTGGCGACGCTTCTGCACAACCTTCCCGGCTGGGCGTTTGCTTGTATGTGCCACCATGTAACTTACCTTGGAATTGCCGCCGAATATGATACGAGCAATGTGAGAACAGCTTCGCATCGCCACTTGCTGGGGCAGAGGGAAATCAACGACCAACAAGAACAGCCTGCATCAGGAAACTCCTTATCACGTCAGTACGCGTAGACATTCACCTTCCTAATTGCGTGTAGCTTCGTCTGTCTATGAAGTGACATTCCAATTTACCGGGCCATTGGGTTTGCATGAGGATCCCTGTCGGAACTCGGACGCCCCTGTCCAACGCAACGTGTCGCCGACAATTCTGGGCGGACCTCCCAAGACATCCAATGGCACAACACCCCCCTCCCATTGCACCATCTGTCGCCGCCCAGCTTGACGAGTTATCGCACCAGACGTCTGCACCTTGTCAAGACAAAGGTTCCAGAACGACAGGTTCCGTATCATCTCTGTACATGTAGTCTGTGAAACCACCAGCAAGGGGTTCAAAGCCTTTATAGACTCGACCGTCGCCGATGCGACTAGAGAATCATCTTGGTCTCACGACTCTCCTGAACATCAGACGGTTACATTCGCTCCCCCAGATAGCGGGGTTTTCAAATTATTTTCGAGCCTCAGTCCCTCGGAGGATTCGGCGCAGCAGCCATGCCAGCGCCAGACCCAATTGGTGACACCATCGTCGCCGGTGCTCTCAACCCTGTTGAAGGGAAGATTGTCTCTGTGCCAAACCACGCGGCCATCAACGAGAAGGCCAGCTTCGATGATACTGCTGCTGGTAAAGAGTTGCAAGCGGAAATTCAAGCTGTGGCCCCCCAATCGGAGAGTGGTAGTCATGAAAAGGACAATGGCAGCGAAGAAGTTATCATCAGAACTGGAGCAGATGCTGCTCAGCACCTGTTGCCTCTCCGGGATGACTTTCAACCCTCTTTGACATTTCGCAGCATCTTCCTGGCCACTTGCTTGTCGGCCTTTCAAGCTGTCATGAGTCAGATCTACACGGTATGTCTAGTCGTGCAATATCCTCTGCAGATGGTGGACGAAACGTATTGACAGTTCTACTTCGTTCCAGTTCAAACCCACCCAGGTCACCATCTCGGGAACCTTCATCGTTCTCATTGCCTATTTCATGGGCAAAGCATGGGCCAACTTTCTCCCCCGAGGCGATAAACTCGAAGCTCGGTGGAGGGAGAAGGGTGGGGAGGGAACGCCTCCTCGCTGGATTCGGACCGTCTCATTCTTGAACCATGGCCCTTGGAACTTGAAGGAACATGCCATTTGCGCCATTACTGCAACATCTGCGTCCAACGCTGCTGCTAGCATCACCGTGTTTGCTGCTCAGGACCTCTTCTACGACCTTCCTCTCAGCCCTGCGACCGTCGTGTTGAGCGTCATTTCCATCGGACTCTTTGGCTACGGAATCTGCGGCATCATGCGACCTATTGCTGTATGGCATGTTGATGCGGTGTACTGGAGCACTTTACCTACGGTAAAAACCCTTCAAGGACTCCATTGGCAAGACTTGAAGAACTCAAAACCGTTGAGGTGGTTCTGGTACAGCTTTGCAGGCATGTTTGCATATGAGTTCTTGCCTGCGTATATATGGCCCTGGCTCAACTCGGTCTCAATCCCCTGCCTTGCCGCGATGCACGCAACTGGTGCCAAAGCTGCTACTTTGACAAACCTCTTTGGCGGCTCTATCAACAACGAAGGACTTGGCCTCTTCAGTCTATCCTTCGACTGGCAATACGTAAGAGAGGACTTTCCCAGTGCTACAACATATTCACATCTCTAACTGGATCCAGATCACCTCTTTTAATACCTCCCTTCCTCTGGCGCTGCAGGCGCATGCGGCTCTCGGATACTTCGTGTGCTTTATTGTGATGCTGGGTATCTACTACTCCAACGCCTGGGATGCGAAGTCCCAGCCATTCATGTCCACTCGTCTCAGGTCTGAAGATGGATCGACATACCCAATCGCGAAAGTTTTCACTGGCGGAGTGCTCAACAAGGAGGCTTTGGCGACTTACGGCATTCCAAGGCTCACGGGTAGCTTTGCGTACGCAATGTTCATGGCAAATGCTGCTGTAAGTCATAATATTGACTGGGAAAGTTCGAGCCATCTAGAATTATGCTAATAACTAGTAGATTGGCGCTCTCATTGCTCACTGCTTTCTGTTCTGGGGCGGAGATGTCGTTAATGCTTATAAGAGCGCCCGAAGCGGACGGTACGACGACAGGCATCACGCGCACATGGCAAAGCACTACAAAGAGACCCCGTGGTGGTGGTATGTGGTAGTGCTTGTTCTTAGTTTCATCCTCGGTATAGTTGTGGTGACAACTCAGAATATCACCCTTCCAGCATGGGCATACATTGTGGCGTTGCTGCTGGGTATCTTTATTGCCCCTCTGGTATGTTGCATTCACATTGAGGCAGTCATGTTGCTGACCAGTGCTTAGAGTACCATTCTCTACTCTCGGTATGGTAATGGCATTGCGACCAACAACCTCTCAAAGATGCTTGCTGGACTTCTACTGCCTGAACGTCCCATCGGAAACATGTACTTCGCGGCTTGGTCGCACAACGTGATTTCTAATGCCGTCACTCTGTCGAATGACTTGAAGATGGGCGAATATCGTGAGTCGCAACAATACCTATATCTGGACAGTGTCACTGATGTTTCCCACAGTTAAAATTCCTCCCCGCGTTATGTTCTTGACCCAAGTGTATGGAACTATACTGGGCGGATTTATCAACTACGCTGTCATGATTTCAATTGTGAACGGCAACCGGGAGTTGCTTGTCGACAGCGACGGTAATAACGCGTGGAGCGGTGCGACTATGCAGTCATACAACACCAACGCAACCTCCTGGGCGCTAGCGCATTACCTGTACAAGCTAGGTGGCAAGTACGAAATGGTGCCCATCGGCTTGGGAATCGGTTTTGGTATTGTTGCCGTTCATAGGCTCGTTGTTCACGTGAGTAATGCCAGAAGACACCGATATATCGGCACCCATGTCACAGACAGTACTGACGAGCTTACCCCCGCACCAGTTCGTCCCCAAAATCCGTGGATTCTCGCTGTCTGAGATCAACTTTCCCCAGTTCATCCAGTATGCCGGATTCATTCCATATAATCAATCGCAGACTTGCGTCATCTTCAGTCAAATCATCGCTGGCTTTTTCACGCAGTTCTATCTCAGGAACTATCGCCCGCGAATTTTCAGAGACTACTCGTATCTCGTGACAGGTGCAATGGACGGCGCTAGCCTTACTGTTCTGTTCATTCTGTCATTCGCTGTGTTTGGGGCGGGAGGCTCTTCAAAGCCTTTCCCAACGTGGTGGGGCAACAATGCGGATGGTTACTATGATCTTTGCCCGTCATCGGAATAAGTATGCATCTCTTGGACACGCATCGGTACCTACTAGGAAGGGATGGTCAAGGCTATGGGGACTTTTGTTCCATACATCGCCCATCTCTGTCTAATAGGCTCCCGAGGTGTGGCCAAGACACAACGTGTCAGTTGGGCCTGTAAATACGTGACAGAAAAAATAAATCCCCATCAGCCCCGAGGCTTTCTACGGTAAGGTGGCCTTCGCTATCTATCACTGGAGGCATCACTAAACAGTTTGTCCCCCCGTAACCCTTATAACGACGCTCATGAATAAATCAATGTGCACATATGACCCTTCATGACCCAATTTCAAAAGTCGAAAGGACCTGACTTGTCTGATCCTTTGACTGAGACTGGACCTCTTAGCCCAGTATATTCGCTAGCCAATTGTAAATACGTCTCTGTGCAGCGTGCCAGCTCTTTAATCATATGTTAAACTACGGATTGATGTTGAATGTGATGGAAGGAGTTGCAGAAGCATTCGGAGGCATTGCGTAGGTAATGTTCCAGAACTCAAAGCCACTGTGTTTGGTCAGAAGATGAATTCAAAATGGGGGACCCTTGTCTACTTACTGGATGATGGAGCACGTACCGCCCACGAGCCCACAGAAACTGATGTCAGGATCTGGGAGAACTGATCCAGTGGTGGTAATATTAATACCGTCCAAATCCCCAAATCCTTGAAGATCACGTTTGCCGCCAATGGAGTTGGAGCTGACAATGAATGTAAAGATGCTCGAAACGTTGCCGCGTGGGTAAGCCAATGTCAACTGCCCTGGATCAACCTTCACTTCCATCGCCTTTTCAGTCCCATGAAGGACTATGTATCCGATGCTGCCGTCATTTCGTGCCCATTGAATTGCAGCAGGCGACCACTGCAAAGAGTCTTGTCGGGGACCACCAAGAGTATCCTCATCGTATGACTCAGCGCCAATGGTGACGTTGTGAGAAAGCCATGCTGTAACGTTGCGAGGCGCCAAGTCGTGAGGAGGGGAAATTGCCGCGGTCTCGTACATATGCTCCCCCGGAAACGACACCAGTTTTTGAATGACCGACTTTGGCACGAGTGCGTCGTGATATGGAGCCAGAACAGAGATGAGCGGTGCGTACTCAAAATCGTCAGCATGGGCCATGCTCCAAGTCTGATCAATACCCGGCGCCTGGGATTTGCCGACGAGGGACCAAATGTATATGTTGAGGATGGCGACGTATTGGTTCATATCAAACCCGTATGTTCTGTCCCACGGCCCCGCGATGTTGCGAAGATTAGCGTTGTACATATTCCCAATGGTTTCCCACACTGCCTCAATCATGCGTGCCCCGTTCTGGCCCATGAGAGACGACTCAGGCATGTACTTGGCCCACATTGTTAGCGCGTAGAGGCTGACCCCTGCGTAGGTTGGACTGTTGAACTCAGAAAGCGTGTCGTTGCGGTCAAAAAGGTCCAGAATTTCTCGAGCGTACAGTTCTCCAGCTGCGGTCATGTTAGAGTCGTTGAGTATACGGCCAGTCCATCCAGAAGCCACAGCCCTCATAAGAGCTGGGTTACTGTAAGATGGATACAAGACATCATCGTCCACGCCCCCGACGCGATAACTGTCGCCAATAGTATTGTTCCGCATGCTCTCGAGGATGAGCATCTGAACATCTTCGGGAATCAGGTGCCTGAACTCCTCGTAAATAACGATGAGATTGCTGCCGATGAACCCTCGCCAATTTGGGTCCCAAGAGTTGAAGATCTGTTATAAAGTCAATAGACCAAAAGACATTGCTTCGAAAAAGTAGACATACGTTCTTCGGGTATGCCGGGGTTCCCACAGTTGGTTCCTCAGGATATGCAGTGTAGTCTCCATACCTAGACAGCAAGGATTGATTAGCAAGTTCCAAAATACAGAATGGAGCTAGCCGCCACTCTTACCATTGTTCTCCTGGTACTTTCTTCTGGTCCGCGATGACGTTTCTAATGATCTTGACGGCCTTCTTCACGTCGTCTCCCTCATTGCGCTGAAGAAGACCTGTTGCGTACCAGACGGAGGAGCGAGTTTCATGCTTGCCCGCGGCAAGCGGAAAGTAGAAGAAGTAAAGATAACCAGCAACAGGATCATAGATCTTATCCAGAAAGTTCATCGACTCATCAAACAGGTCCTGAGTGTGATCCGATAGCTTGACTGCAACTGCTAAGTTCATAGCAGTGAGCCAAGCAAGCAGACTAATCGAAAGAAGACTTTTAAATGAGGCACACATGATGGGTTGTTTGCGTTAACTCCATAGAGTGAAATGGGCGAGTGAATGTCGCGTCTTAAGACGGGGACCAAGCCTGTTTTTGCAGCGAGCAGTGCTTCCCACGATAAGTAACTGATGAACTACTAGAGTCATCGACTAAGCCCCGACAAATTCTTAGCTTAGAAGCCGCCAGCCGAAGCTCGGTGCCAGCTCTGGATCAGCATGAGCTCGTCCCGAGGATGGCCGGTTTGCAGGAAATCTCTCCGCGCGCCATTGGACTCTATTGGTGAGTATGCACATCAACGGTACCATCTTTAGGTAGTAGTGCAGAGGATCAGATGACGATAGATGCAGAATTACCTGGCAAGGCTGTTCGCCGAACTCCCGATAAGAACAGTGTGGGGATGCCGATCAGCCGTGCCCCGCAAGCCGCTCCTACGGCAAACCCGGCGAAAGCACGAAAATCGACGATTGTCGTCCAACCGGACCGGAACCGGTCATTGCCGGCCTTCGCCGCATCTTCTGCTAGGAGGGAAAACTCCAAGTAAACCAAACATGGATATTACATTCTTCTTTTTCCTACTAAATCTCTCAATTTGAGCAATTCTTCGTGATAGTTCGTACGCTGTTTCTTCCCGTCTAACTGCTTTTTTCCTAATTTGTGTCTCCAATCACAGGTAGTTCCTTATCCAATGTATGCGACACTTAGTTTCCCAACGAACTGATCGGCTTCTGAGTCTTTCTCGGAGAAAAGGTGACATGTTAACTAGTAAACTTACAGTATACACCAGGTGGTCAAGGCCACCATGATTCGTCTCTAAACAGGAATTCTATGCTAGTCGTACTTTGAGATTTGGGCTGTTGAACCAAGATCGAGAGATGCTTATGGCGGGATTTCCAGACTTGTTCCCAAGTATCTCCGACCAAGCCTGCGCGAGACGGAAAAGATGTTTAAGATCCCCAAACCGTCACTCAAAGATGGCACCTTTGAATGCCGTGGCCTTCGAAGCTCCTGTGAACACCATGATAATAGACGGTACGAACCTTCAAAACCATCTGAGAGCTGTTTGACCAATTTCAAGAAGACTTATTCATTCACGCGTTACTCGGTCCACGTTTCAATGCTTCCCCTAAAACTACAGTCCACAATTTCGATAATCGGAGTTTGCTCACCACACCCCACCGCGAAATCCGCTAACCAGCTTTTACTACCTGTAAGAGGCGGCAACAGGATCACACGTAAAATCAAGCGCTCCGTGAATGCCCCTCAGCGATTTCAGAGTTACGCGTCAATAATCTGCGCCTTGACAGGTTCCCAATCCTTCGGCGGAAGCTGAACAAGCAAAACCTTGAGCTTCTCGCATGCTGCGTGAATTGGCGAAGCCATAGCCTGCATTGGGTCCTGCTCTTTCGCCGAGCCGTCATAGCTACTGGGAGATGCCAGCATGGCGCCGACCCAGTCCAGACGAGCCTGGGAAAGCCACTTGGCGGTTTTGGGCTTCGCGTGCCGCCGCATGGTGTTCTCGAGATTGAGGCATGTCATGAGCAACCAGTCGAGATCTTGATCCGGATGCGGAATCGGACGGCAGAGCATATTCTTCATCTCATCTCCGCTGTAAGCCGCCTCGACGTGCGCGATGAAGACTGCACTGAAGACCTGCTGGCAGGCACGGACAGCCTGCAAAGTGATCAGGTTTCCGTTGAAAACTGGAATTGCCTCGCGCTTCTGCAGTCCATCCGCCGTGCAGTCGACAAAGAGAGTGTTGGGCTGTGGCTGATAGCTGCTCCCGTTGTCGAACTTGACCTCATCAAGCCCGATGCTGACGACCCGGCCCTGGCGGACAATGCTCGTAATCGTTTTGAGCTGCTCGAAGTCGGCCACGGACACGCTGGCACATCGGAACATGGTCGGCTAGACGTCGTCACTAAGGCGCATAAGATGCTGCGCTCCTTCCAGCCGCTTCAAAAGATCGTTCAAAGACGTGGCCTCCATGATGGCGTTGATCTGCGTGGGAATAACACTGAGGCTCTTCTCAGCAAACTCTGGACCTGGTTGACTCTCACTGCGGTCAAAAAGCCACGAGTCTCGGGGCATGATCTATGTCAATTTTGAGGCGCCAATGCCTCGCGAAAGTAACCACAGGCAGGCGTCAATGCCCGTCTTGCCAGCACCGACGATGGTGAAGTTGGCGAAGGGTCGTGATACTTTCGACAGCGAGTTTGGCTTCACGAAAGGGACGCCAGAGGCCACTTGGTACGCTGGAGGGCCCATGTAAACTCAATAAATTTTAAATATTTTATTTTATTTTCAAAACCACTATAAATAAATCCACCCCCGCAATATTCTACTTATTATCCAACTTTTATAAACTTTTACATATTCAAACATAAAGCCCAAGTAAAATAGCGTGAGGCTGAGCTACTAAAACTACTAAAGTACATATTTGCTAAGGAAAGTATAAGCTTTCAACACGGCTTTCCAGCCGTCAGACTCCGGGTCGCTGCTCCGGTCGCAAATATGGGCAGCGCCATCGACGAGCGCAAGGCCGGCCGGCACGCCGCGGGCTACGAGCACGTCGTACGTGTCCTGGCTTTGGCGCCACGGGATTAGGTCGTCGCCGGTGCCGTGGACCAGGAACGTGGGCACGGGCGCGTACGTGCCGGCCTCGACGTGGGCGCGCGGACTAACGGCGCGGACGCGGTCGAGGTCGGGTTGCGGCGCCGCGTTCCAGTCGGTGACGCGGCCGGCCCCGGCGGCCTCATCGTCGCGGTCGGCGGCGGCACGGGTCGGGAGGCCGTCGACGATGACGGGCAGGGTCTGGGCCTTCCAGTTCATGTGCAAGATCATGCGGCAGCGCGCGTCCTCGAGGATGAGCGGGTCCGGCAGGGCCGCGTGGGCGCCGATGACGCCGTAGCTGGTCAGGGGCGCATCGTGGACGCCCTCGAGCACGTCGAAGGCGAGGCCCGAGCTCGCGGCGCCGGGTATGTCGATGGGCGTTGTCCACCACTTGTCCGTGTAGTCGGTCGGGTGGTAAAAGCCCAGGACGGCGGTGGGGGGCGGCGGGCCGCGCGCGGGCGCCGTCCAGGCCAGCGACAGGGCCAGCATGCCGCCCGAGGACCAGCCGATGGCAGCGACGCGCGCTCGGAATCCTCGCCGCCGCGGTCAGAGCCGCGCGGTCAGAGTCGAATGCAGGCGAAGAGATGAGAGCAGACTCAAGATGACGCGCCGTGGGTGACTAATTTCGAGTCTGTGAAAAGTGCGATATTCGCCGGCCGGTGCGAGCGCGGGGGAGGGGCATAGGCATCATGTATGAGAGCCCCGCGCTCTAGGCTTGCTTTTCCGCGCCCTCGGTCTTGTCGTCGACGTACTCCCAGGCGTCGTCGTCCTCCTCCTCCTGGTCGTCGGGCTCGCCTGTGACGCTCCGCCAGACGCGGCCCCACATGCCCTTCTTCTGCAGCAGGGCCAGGACCAAGACGACGGGCACGTACCAGATGCTGACCCAGAAAAGGCCCCTGGCGCTGCCGCCGGCGCCGCCCTGGCGCCAGAAACGGACCGACTCGCGGGCCATCCAGGCGTTTACGGGCAGCGAGGTGACGGCAAAGGACCACTCGGTGACGCCAGCGGCGCACAGGCCGACGGAGACGGGGAGGAAGCCGAGCAGGCCGTAGCGCAGAGCAACGCGGGCGTTACGGGCCGGGTTAGTCCAGGCGAGCATGCGCAGGCCCGCGGCGCGGTACTCGTCGCGCACGCCCCACGACAGCGCCATAAAATGGGGGAACTGCCAGGCGAAGAGGAGGGCGGCGAAGAGCCAGCCGCCCACGCTTGAGCCGTCCGGCGCCAGCAGGAGCTCGCGCCACGAACCGTCGCCGACGGCCGACTCGCCAGCCGCAGCGGCCCAGCCCATCAGCGGCGGGATGCCGCCGACGACGGCGCCGACCCACGTGTTCGCGGCGGAGAGGCGCTTCATAGGCGTGTAGACGCCCGCGTAAAGGACGATGTTTGCCGCGCCCAGGAACGCCACCGTCGGGTTGACGCCCAGGTGCAGGGCGGCGACGCCGGCGAGGGCGCAGCCGGCGGCAAAGAGGAGCGCGGCGCGCGTCGACACGAGACCGCGGACCAGGGGGCGCGCGCGCGTGCGGCTCATAAGGGCGTCGGTGCGCGGCTCGTAGAGCATGTTGAGAGCGTTTGCGGCGGCGGAGCAGAGCGTCGTGCCAGTGGTCAGGAAGAGCAGCGTGAGCGGCGAGAGGGAGGGCAGGGTCGCCTCAGCGGCGCCTGGTGAGAGGAAGGCCGGGACCGGGTATATGGCGTAGGGGACCATGGCCGAGAGGACGACGACGAAGGTTAGACGCGGTTTCGATAGCGAGAGCAGCGCTGAGAGCTTGCGTTGCATCGAGTCGGACGGCTGCTTGGCCGCGGCCTCGGCGAGGATCGAGGACGCATCGGGAGGTAGTTGGGCACCGTGAGGTGAGGAGGGTGTTGGCTTGCTGGAGGCTAAGGCGGCGGAAAGAGCAGAGGCCTCGGCGTTCTGCTTGGCGGCCTGTCTCCGGCGATGTGGTAATGGTTCGGCGGTAGCGGTAGCGGCGGCGGTCGCGGGGGAGGACGCGTCCGAAGTAGCTTGTGATGAGGAGGTTGAGCGGAGCTTGGTTGAGGTTGCTGCTGGAGGCGACGTCACCGCAGCCGCGCCCATGTTCCGCGCCCTTGTCCGGAACTGGATGCCGCCAAACCTCTCCAGCAGCGTGTTTGACAGAAAGTAGGCGCCCTTGACACGGGGCGATTGGGCGGGCGTGCTGCCCGTGCCGGCCGCAGAAGCAGCCGCGGCCGCAGCTTTCGGGCGTGCGGTGGTTGAGAGAGGGGCCAGAAATCTTTGCCCTGCGGCTGGCAGGCGGCGCCGGCAGCACCTCCAGCACATATTGTCGACGGCGCTGACGCCCGGCAGTAGGGATCTTGGGCCTGGCATGTCTCTGTGCGGTCTTTTCAGCTCATCAGGGCAGCATCAGAGGATAAGGTTGAGCGCATAGGGGTTGCGCTTTGGCGTCAATTGGGTGAGGTGTTTGCTCGTTATTGCAGCAGACTTGTGAGTGCAGCAGAACTCAGCTTAGCTCTGATGAAGTTCTGACGATCTATAGGCGCGCCACTAGCTGGGGTTTGTGGGGCTAGATTAGGGATAGATGATGTTAACTAGCGAACGTTTTAAATTGCTGTCTGTTTTCTAGGCAATCTATTTTATGCTGCACTAACTAATTTCCTGCTGTTATATATATATCTAGTTAAAGGATAGCATAAGTAATACTACTATAGGGGCGCCTTTTAAGTATATATTTAGGCGCTTAGTATGTATAAATTTATATTATTACGACCTATTATAAATAGATAATAGTTAACTAACCTATTTAGTGTTATAGTTAGCTATCTAATAGTAGAGTTATTATAACTTATTATATATAAATAATAGTTAACTAACTTACTTAGGCGTTAAGCAGCTAGGATAGGATATTTATACTATAGGATTATAGGAATAGTAAGGACTTACTTAGTATAGAAGAACTATAGTATAAGTTATATAATAATAAGATAGGGAAATAATTAGTAGAGTATAAGAAAGAGTACTTAGTAATTAGTTAGCCTTACTAACTAATTATAATTACTTTATATATATAGGTAATTACTTAGGAGTAAATAAAAGATATTATTTAGAAAAAACTTATATATAATATAACTTAAGCTTCGTTTATAGTTAGACTTCTATAGCTCTTTAGTAATTAATTTAGTATTTATCCTTAAAATACTCTTAGTTTATTTTTACTATAAATTACTTATTAAGCTTAAGATTAATTACTTAGGTCTCTAAAGATTAATCTATTATAGCTTATAACTTATAACTTAAATTATAACTTTAGTATATTATTACTATATATTAATCTCTAACTTCTATTAATAAACTTTACTATTAGATAGCTAACTATAATACTTTAATTACTCCTATTTAGTAAGTTAACTATTAATTCCTATTAATAGTAATAAATAACTATATCTTCTTATACTAAAAAGGAGTAGAGAACTTAGAATTTTTAGTAATTTTAACTTAAAAGTAAGAGGTTAGATAGGTGTTTTTATAAGTATTAAGTATTACTATAGAAAGAAATAGCTTATATAAATAGATAGAAGCTTAGTTAGCTTATAATAAAAACGACTAAGTAGATAAATAAGAAATATACTTATTTTTATATAAATTCTTATTTTCTCTTAATAACTTTAATAACTACCTTTTTAAAAGAGCTTTTAAGATTTTTTAGCTTAGTTATAGAAAAGGTTTATTAATTTTTATTTTTTAAAAATTAAATAAATATAAGTATTTTTAAGCTCTTCTAGCTTTAGTTAGTTTTATTTTTATCTCTTTTTTTAATTTTTATTATACTTCTTTAATTATTTAAAATAAAGATAGAGTAAAATACTATAAGAATAATACTATTAAACTTCTTCTTAATAGTTTATTTTTTTTAAGAGATTATATAACTTAAAGTATAAAAAGAGTAAAAAATATAGATAAAGTATAAATTTATTAAGCTTATATTTATATATTTATTTTTATATTTTTTTATAGTTATTTAGAAAATTAATATATAAGTATTTAAGTAATTTTAGAGGCTTTTTATTTAAAGTAGAATATTTAGTATAATTAATAAGTTTTCTTTTTTACTTTATTATAAAATTAGTAATTAATATAAAGAAATAAGCTAAACTATTATAGAGGATTTCTTTTATAGTTATTTTATACTACTTTATTAAACTAAAATAAAAAAAGTTTAGAAAAAGAAATAAGTTAAATATTACTATATTAGAAGAAAATTTAGCTAATATTTTTTTAATTTCTATTTTCTTAAAATAAAAAGTAATAGCTTAAATAT